AGACCTGTTTTTTTGTTGTTGTTGTTGTTGTTTTCTCGGTTTGGGGAGATTGCGCCCAAAACCATCACAAAGCCTCCATCAAAAGTTTCCATGTGTGCAGCCCACATGCTCACCTCTGCTTAACCCACAAATGTTTTTTTCCCCCCTTGTATATGTGGCACCATGTCAGGAGAAAAATGGGGTTTTTTTACGGTCAGATGCTTTTAAGGAGAAGTCATGATTTTCTTCCACTGCTTAAATTCCTCAGATGCAAAAGAGTTTACATTTAAATTAACAAGCGTGCATACCAGTAATAGTTTCAGTAAACTCTGGGTTTCTCTCTGTCTCTCATGTCATTGAGGAGGAATTTGGACTAATTCTCCTTTAGTTTATTGAGGTTTGCAGACATTGGTTTCTGCACAGCTCACTTTGGTCCCACCACAGAATTTCAATCAGGCTGAGGTCTGGACTTTGAGTGGGCTATTGCACCACACTCGGTCTTTTCATTTTCAGCCATTCTGTTGGAGCTTTGCCTTGACCCAGTTTGCTCGCTTCAGCTGTGGAACAGATGGATTCACATTTTGACTTCGTAGCCATTGTGCTGCAGATTTTCAGCTGTGTTTGGGATCACTGTCCTCTTGGACTGCCCTGTTTGGGCCAAACTTCAGCAAACAATTAGGACATACTGCTTTACACTGCAGAATGATAGAAACCCAAACCATTTCCAGATTACAAAACAGCTTTTCTATGAAGAGATCCAATCCTGTGTTTTGATGGTGGTACCATCTAAGGAGTCTGCAAACAAGTAAAAAAAAACTGTCCGACACTTTACTAAAAACTGTAAGGGTAGTGGGAAACATCATCTTCAAGTAAGAAATGTGGTCTGAAATAAATCCTGAATGATTGCGATCACCGAAACCTTTGGTGAGACTCAATAAAAAAAAAAAAAAAAAAAAAAACAACTCAAATTCAGTAGTAATGAAACTTAATTTCCACATGCACAATGTGAAGGCAACTCAAGGGATAGGAATTGAACAGCTGTGTAGTCATAAGAAAACCACAAATCAGTGAGACTAGCTTAAGAAAATGGCTGAAGGAAGAATAAAGACTAGACTCTGGAGGAGTAGAAAAAGTCTATGTGGGCTCATTAATCCAGATTTACCCTCTTCCTGAGTGTTGGAGCATCAGACTAAGAAGACAGGTAGATGAAGTATGCTCCCATTATGCCTGGTGTCCTACTGTACAAGCCTGCGAGTCATGTGCGATGATCTGTGGTTGCTGGATGGCACCACCATATTCCAAGATCACAAAGAGAGAATTTATTGCCCTAAAGTTGCGAAAGAAGAGTTCAGAGAGCATGAGATGGTATTTTCACACATGGATCGGCCCCCACACAGTCTGAGCCTTAACCCCATTGAAAATCTTTGGGACGTGCTGGAGAAGGATTTGCACAGTGGTCACTCTACAAGATCTCAGTGAATAATTGATGCAGCGCTGCATGGGAGTAAATCCTGTGACATTGCAGAAGCTTATCGAAACAATGCCACAGCAAATGCATGCAGTAACCAAAGCTGAAGCCAGCCCCACAAAATATTAGTTTAAGATTTTGAAATTAAGCCTCAATTTATAAAGCTAGTCCACAAGTTTAAATGTAAACAAATACAAATTGCCACGTGATTTCAGATTTTAAGACCTGGTTTCATTTTTAATCTTCACCTATGATCTTCAGATGACTCAAGTGAAATTGTTTGACAGTCTAAAAACGTCACTACACCTCCTGGTGGTCAATTAATCAATGCATTTGATTAGCATCACCTGGCTGCTACTTATGATCAGTGTCCAATCAGTTAGGATAGATTCTGATTTTTTCCATTTTATTTCTACATTTTTTGCTTCAAGTGTTTCCAATTAAATGTTACACGTCGCGTTCGGTCAAATAGAGACGTATTATAACTGGTTGAATGTTTATGACGGGATTAGTTAACATTTTAAACCTATTAACCTGGTCAACGTGACAGACGAGTTGAGGTTCAAACCGCTGTGTGTGCGTCCACTGCTCCATTTGGTCATTTCAGTCGACACTAGCAGAGCCGAGCGGTCTTCATGAAAATGCTCGGCGCTCCACTTTAACACGTTCATACTGTGGAGCAACGGCAAGCTAACAGCAGAGCCTCTTCTTACCAGCTGTTTGGGGTCTACCAACATCCTGCGGCTGGCGGACACCGAGCTGTTTCATCCGCACTTTCTCCTCCAAAGACAGGCTTTCAGTGTTCTGGTGGACATGGTTCACTTCCTTCATGGTGTCCGCTTTCTGTAGAACGAACCGGAGGCTCGTTTCACACGAACCAGGCCGAACACTAACATTTCTGCCAGGCTGGATCCATGGAGCTGTTACGGGAGCTGGAAACATTCTCCGACAGGGCCTCGGATTCTTTCTTTGTGTTGGCGTTTTCTGCCCTCCTCATCTCTCCCCCCCTCCCCACCAACCCGAGGTTTTAGAGCAGGCATCTCCACAGCCGCCCTCATTCGGTGTAACCCTAGTAACCAAAGAGCTCCCCCCGCCGGAGAACAGGTTTGCTTGAAAACAACGCGGCAGTGCGTTTGCCATATTGTGAGTGGCATATTTATCCCCTTAAACCAATGTAACTCGGCTTAAATCTGGATTTTCCACATAGGAGGACTGGTTTTAATGTTAAATAAATTTTGACCAATAGATGGCGCCAACAGTAATATGGTAATTTTTGGAAGTAATAAGTAACATACACAAATATTGAACAAAATCTTCAAGTCAAAACAGAAAAGCCTTAATTTACCTTTAGAGATATACCAGAAAGTTTAGTTTCACTATTTTGTTTACTTGAGAGGTGGCTGTGAAAGTCTGTTAACTGTTTCAAACAACAATAATACATACTACATTATCAGTCATCCCCAAGTTATAACTGAGATGAAGAATATAAAAACATTAAAATGAGAAGGAAAAATTAAGCACCAATAATCCAGACTATTGTTATCATTAGAGTGTAGATAGGGGTGGTTTAAAAAATAGCAAATAAAATTATATTATTACTGATCAGGGGAGAGGCAGTCAAACATAACAGGGAAATGTCACAGCTGGGATTGGGATGTTTTGCCAGACGACATGGAATCATCACCCAAACATGCCAGCCTTTCATGAAGAAATTAATTTAACTCTACTGGATGGCAAAACTTCCTCACAGACACCAAAATAATCATAGACACCTTCTCTTCAATAAAGTCTGAGCATTTATTAACAAGGCAGCTTGACAGTACAGTCAAAATATCTTGTTAACAAAACCATCAGTAAAATTAGGAGAGTAGCAGGCACAATACATTTTGTGGGTCTGCCTTCATGAATGTGCAAAATATTTCAGAAAGAGCTAAATACAGTGAGGAGGATATCACACCAAATATTTGTTTGAAAAGAATAAACTTTATTTATCTGATTCATTCTCCATCTGCATGTGGGTCAAGCGTGTAGCTTCAACCATGACATATGCTTTTTATCTCAAACATCTGTGTCCACTACCAATAGCAATATCTAAAGTTCCTGATGATTTTTGGGCAAAAAAAAAAAAAAAAAAAAATCTGATGTAGGTCTTATTAAATAAATAATTAACCTAATTAAATTGGTTTGCTTTTGTATTTGAAGGAAAATTATGGACTATTACCTGTTTGTGTCAAGGATTTTGTGACAGTACCACTAGCTATAATGCTCTGACTAACCCTGATTTACTGCTTTTTGTTCATGGCTCTGCATCATGTGATCCTGTTACTGTTTTTATTATGTTAGCCATTTCTGTGGCTAAATTACTTTTTTAACTATTTGATGATGGACTTCATTGAACTGTCCCCTGCTAAGGGAAAGAAATTTTCATCTTGTTATTGTTGGCATGTTTACCAAATGGGTGGAAGCGCTCAGGGACAGGTCCTTCATTACTAAACTACTGAACCTCACTCTGCTAAGGGTTTTTGCTGATGGAGATTGCTGTTGCAATGCTAGGCTAATGTTAGCTTTCTTGCTTTTTGTTTTGATATGACTTGTTAACAAACAAAACATAACATATTTTATGTGCTTTTGACTTTTTTTAAACTTTTGGTACGATAGCAATAGTCTAAGGCAGCTTCTGTAATGAGTTGTATTTATGAAGTAACTGGTTAAGTTTATTCTTTTTGTCCTTTTCAATAATCGAACACCAACATGTCTCTGTGAAGCTAGGACATCTCTGGCCATGTCCACCTGTTGCACTTCTGAACCTTTACTCAGACGAAGGTGGTGAATTAAACATGCAACCAAAGTGCAACAGGATTAATCCTGCAATCACTGGATCATTTATCATCAGCTAGCAAACAAGCCACGCTAAAATCATATCTAAAAAGTATATATGCACTTTCCACTTTGTCAATAAAAAGTACAAAACATCTCAGTCCATGTTGTGGTTCAGCTGGAACCAACCAAAAGGCCTGCTGAGAGCAGAGTTGACGTCCCACTCCTTCAGTCCCAACAGTAGCCTGCTTCTCAGAAATAATAAAACACACAATCAATGAGTTCACAGTGATTCGCAAAAATAAAAACTGACAAATCAATACCAACAAACATAATATTTTACCTCAATTTTTCATCCACAGCAATGCAATTGATGAAGCAGCTACACTGCCCTGCATAGATATTCCAGGTGCATTTCTTTAGGTCATCCTTCTTTAAATTCTTTACATCTATCTACCTGTGAGTTTATTATTCAAGTTAAAATGTAAGAGTTATCAGTATGATAACTCTAAATGGTCTCTCACTCTGCATCAGTGAACTACACATTCAAGGGGCAGACTGCTGACTGGACTGGCGTTCAGAAAACAGACACTGAAACCGTCCACAAGGAGGGTAAACCTCAAAACGTCATCGCTGAAGAAGCTATGTCCAAGCATAGTAATAATAAAGCTTTATGGAAAATGGCCTCCATTTAGCACAAAAAAAATTAACACATCAAAATATATCTGACATCAAATCAACTTTAAAAATTGGGGAGTTTATTTAGTTCTTTTACATATTTTAGTTACATTTTGTCCTTCAGACTGTTTACAGAAACAATAAGTTGATCACTTTTTTTATGGCAAGTGTAGAAGGGTGAAAAACAAGTAACTAGTAAATAAAGACAATAAGTAAGAATATAGAACCCAAACATAATTTTTTATTTTGTATTTTTTCATAAGTTATTTAGCATTATTTCAGTTAGTCCATGCAATTCTCCACATGACCACTAGGTGCGCATTTCATTGGTAGCATAGAAAAGATTGAGCTCACAAAAAGAATAAATCTTCCGTTGGATGTTAATGAGAACTTAACGTGTGTGTCTCATCTTTTCTGTGTCACAGGTTAGTTAAAATGTATCTTGGTGCATGAATATAGATGACTTGTGGGAGTTGAATAGGTTATTGAATAGGAAGTCGACTAGTGAGTCATGTCCGGTTTGTGAGGAGTATTGTGGGGAGAAACGTTTAACAGACTGTTAAATTTCCGTTGAACTGTTGAATTTTGTAGGTATCGAAACAATTTGCAGATAAATTACACTATTTTCATTTCTTTTTCCGTAAAATTGCGTTTTCTTGTCAAGAACCAACGACATTAATGTTTAAGTTAGTAACGAGACGCGCCATTAAAGGAGCATTACGCCTTTTTCAGTGACGTTTTCCTTTTTGTAACAGATAAAATATTGTTATTCTGTAACGGGTTCAATAGCCTTCATCTTTCTAGGCTTATGCTTAAATAGTAAAGTATATCATATCTGTCTAAAAGAAAAGTTGTTAAAATATTTGAAAACAAACTCATGTACTTTTGTTTTTATTTAAAAGGACAAAAGATATAAAGTACTGAATATGGAGTATGTTAGCACACGAAAAGAATAAATCTTCCGTTGGACGTTAATGAGAACTCAACGTGTGTCTCATCTTCTCTGTGTCACAGCATCACATGTTGGAGGAAGATCTTTTCTATTACATTACTCTGAGCCACCCAAGGTTGCAGGGTAGCATAAGTTTTATAGTGTTTCCAAACTAATTTTCAGTGTGAAATCTCTATTGACAGTGAATTCTTTTATGATGGTTCTTTACACCTTCCGCTCCTGCAAACTTCTTTGAACAAAGATTGCAGCTAAATGGTTTTTCTCCGATGTGAATAACCATGTGTCGTTTTACTTGGTAATTCTCAAGAAACGTTTTTCCACATTCCTTACAAGCAAAGTTTTTGATTTGAGAAGCTGGTTTCTTCTTTCGCGCAAGTCCCGCATGGACCAGGATATGTCTTTGAAGGACAGACTTCCGAGCAAACTTTTTATCACATTTATCACATGACAGGAGTTTCTCTCCGGTGTGAAATCGAACATGCCAAACCAGACTTTGTTTCTGGGTAAAACAGGCACCACAAAGCCCACAGACAAATGGTTTTACATCAAAGTGGGTTATCATATGGCCTTTTAGATCGCTCTTAAGTCTGAAGCACCTGCCACAGTCGCCGCATGCAAATGGTTTTATTCCTTTATGGATGGTCATGTGATTCTTCAGACCTCCATTTGAGGTAAACTTTTTATGACATAGCTCACACTGAAATGGTTTCTCTCCGGTATGGCTTGTCATGTGAACTCTAAGGCTATACTTCTGGATAAACGTTTTGCCACATTGATCGCAGGCAAAGGGTCTTTCTCCTGTGTGGAGTTTCAGATGATATTTAAAATGTTAGCCTTTACCACAGTCTTTACAAACAACGAGGTTTTCACCACGATGGATTCTCATATGATTTTTAAGTTTATAAAGCCACTGAAAGGTTTCACCACACTCATCACAAGAAAAGGATTTTCTTCGTGGCTTGAGTCTCGTCTGTGAATCCCTATTCCGCTTCCTTTTAGAGTGATTCTTCTCAACTGAACAGCTGGAAGATGTTTCTCCTGAATGACCTGCTACGTGTTTCTGGAACATCTGCTTCCTCACAAACTGTTTACCGCAGTCAGGACAGCTGAAGGCCTTCTTGGCAGCTTTACGTCCCGCTTTACTCTTTACACCTGACTGACGTGTTCTGCGTTTCCCAATCTTCATCACTGTCTTCATTTTCAGATCCAAAACCTGATAGATTGTCATCATCATTCTCATCACTGACTTCAGTCTCAGAAGAGACTGAATGCCTATTTTCAATATTTGGCTGTAAATTAGTACTTGGATCTGGTTCTCTGTTGGGTTCTGGTCCTCCACTGATCTCTCCATCAGGTTCTGTTTTCATCTGTTCAGCTGAGCTGCTGGTTGGAGCTTCTGTCTCCCTGCTGTCTTCACTTTTGATGTGATGAACTTCTGGCAACTGAGGTTTCTCTTCTTCTTCTTTCTTCACATTAAGCTGCTCTACTTCCTGACTGATCCACTGTTCCTCCTCCTCTTCCTTCTTCACCTGTAAACATGTGAGGTTCTGCTGGTACAAACTGGAACTGGACACATCAGGAACCTCTTCTTTAATCACCAGCAGCTGCTGCTCTTCTGAAGGAAACACAGACATCTTGGTTAAATCTTACACCAAAGTCTGTTTATTGTGAATATAGCTGTCTAATGGACACTTATTTGAAATGTTTATTCATAATTGATGTATTAATGGATGCCAAAATGTAAAAGGAAGGGCAATTGCCACTAAAATGATCTAAAATTTGAAAAAAAAGAGAAAAGAAAACAAAACAAACAACATTTGTCTCCAACAGTTAAAATATGATGAAACAATGATGATGTAAACAGTGACATGCATGAATCACCAGAAAAGAACAACTGCACAGAAATTAAAGACTGGGTTTATTCCCAGCATTAAATAAACACCAAGGAACAAACAGAGGTGGGTAGAGTAGCCAAGTAGCACTACTTCAATATACTTTTACGCAAGCAAAAGTAAAAAAGAAATAACTCAAGGAAATACAGCTGTTTGCAGAAAGGCATGTTTTCATCAAAAAAGATATGTACTGTGTCAAATCTCCAGAGTCTCCATGACCTGGAAAATCAGGAAGGAATTCAGATTTGGAGAGATGTGCTGATAACTTGAAATGTTCCAGCTGGACAATTCCTGGAAACTCCCCTAAACGCAGGCCAAACGATCTGCTTCAGCCAAACAAGGGACTGGACTATGTGAGAACTATGCATAGACATGGCCGAGTATGAATACGCCGCGTCCTCTGAGATTTCTTTGAACTTGGAGGTTGAACGGATTCCGGTGTGATGATTTTTTACAGTTTGTTCAAATCATTCTGCTTCCGAGAAATAATAGTCGTTCGCAGAAGCGCATTGACTCGGGTTTACAGCTTACTGGTTTCCTCAAATCAAACACCGAGGGCATGAACAAACTCATTAGTTTTTCAGTTTTTACCCTGAAAAACTGATAACATCAGATGATAACTCTAGGCTTTGATTAACATCTAGGGATTTATGTCTATAGTTGGATCTCTCAGTACACATTGGGAGCAGCAACTTGTTTACTTGATGCTTCCTCTGGATCTAATGATAAGACTTGTTTCATAATGACACGATGAAGTGATTTACCTTCACTCTTGTTCTTCACAGAGTCATCGGAGCTGGATTGTTCTCCAAATCTGCAAGTTTCCATCGTAATTTCGGTCCCCCGATGTTCTGACTGGAAAATAGGGTTACGCTTGAGCACTCCGGAAGATTTCGACAGTTATGGACCTTAGATGGGTTTTGGTCAGGCGTCTGGAGAACCACACACTGCCACGTGTCTCACTGCTGCCACCTGCTGGAGGCAGTTGGTTAATACAACATTCAGACTAGGCTAGATTGAAAACGGATAGATATACAGGTACATCTAGAAAAGCAGAATTTCTTAATAAAGTTCAATATTTTAGTCAGTTATTTCAGGAAGTGAAACTCACTTAGAGTCCTCACAGAGAGTGAAATATTTCAACCATTTATTTCTTGTACTTGTGATGAGCGTACAGATTACAAAACCTCCAAATTTAGTGTTTCAGAAAACTGCAAAGTAATTAAATATTAAAAATTCCTGGTGTTCCCACATGAATTACTGAATTAACTCCAAATACCCACTAAGTTTTTTATTTAGCCTCTAAATGTCTCTCAGTCTGCATTAGTGAACTACACATTCAAGGGGCAGACTTCTGACTGCACTGGCGTTCAGGAAACAGACACTGAAACCGTCCACAAGGAGGGTAAACCTCAACACGTCATTGCTGAAGAAGCTATGTCCAAGCATAGAAATAATATAGCTTTATGGAAAATGGCCTCCATTTAGCGCAAGAAATATTAACAAAATATGTTTGATGTAAAATCAACTTTAAAAATTGGGGAGTTTATTTAATGCTAATAAACATTTTTGTCACCTTTTGTCCTTCAGATGCATTATAGAAACAATAAATTGATCACTTTCTGCATTTATTAAAAAATAGCAAGTTTACACAAAAGACCAAATAAAGTTACAGTCCACTGCCTGTTTTGGGCAGAAATATGCATCCCCGTCCTGAGCTTCTGAAATAATTTTGGTCATCCTCTGGCCTTCTGCTCATGCAAACTTTTTCAAACAAAGGTCACTGGTCAATGTTTTCTCTCCTGTGTGAATAACCTTGCAATTATTTGGCTAACACGCCTTCTTCACCATTCCTTACAAGCAAAGTTACCCTTTCCAGTCTCCACTTTCTCCTCTTTCGCATGAACCCGCATATGTCTTAGAAGATAATAGTTCCGGGCAAACTTTTTATCGCATTTATCACATGACAGAAGATTCTCCCCAGTGTGGAGTCTAACATGCCGCAGCATGCTTCTTTTGTGGGTGAATTTGGCGCCACAATGAGCACAGCTAAATGGTTTCTCTCCTGTGTGACTCACCACGTGGCTTTTTACATGTGCCTCCTGGAGGAACCTCTTCCCACATTCCTCACAAGAAAAGTTCCCCTTTCCAGTCACCGGTTTTTCCCGTTTTAGATGAACTCGCATATGTCTTAGAAGATAATATCTCCCGACAAACTTTTTATCACATTTATCACATGACAATAGGTTCTTCCCAGTGTGGAGTCTAACATGCTGGAGAAGACTTCTTTTGTGAGAAAAACCAACGCCACAGTAACCACAGCCAAACGATTTTATGTCTAAGTGGGTTGTCTTGTGGCTTTTTAGATCACTCTTCAGTCTGAAGCATCTGCCACAGTCGCTGCACGCAAATGGTTTTACTCCTTTATGGATGGTCATGTGGGTCTTCAGACCTCCATTTGAGGTAAACTTTTTATCACACAATTCACACTGAAATGGTTTCTCTCCAGTGTGGCAAGTCATGTGAATTTTAAGGGTATGTTTCTGGCTAAATCTTTTACCACATTTATCACAGGCAAAGAGTTTTTCTCCATTGTGCAGTTTCCGGTGAGATTTAAAATCATCCCGGGAGTGAAAGATTTTACCACAATCTATGCAAACAACAGATTTTTCACCACAATGGGTTCTGGAATGACATTTAAGAGCAGCTAGTTTTATAAAGGTTTTACCACAATTGTCACAAGAAAAGGATTTTCTTCCTGGTTTGAGTCTCGTCTGTGCATCACTGTTTTTGTTCCCTCTAGAGTGATTCTTCTCAACTGAACAGCTGGAAGATGTTTCTCCTGAATGACCTGCTATATGTTTCTGGAACATCTGCTTCCTCACAAACTGTTCACCGCAGTCAGGACAGCTGAAGGCCTTCTTGGCAGCTTTATGTCCCGCTTTGCTCTTTACACTTGACTGATGTGTTCTGGGTTCCCTCCAATCTTCATCACTGTCTTCATTTTCAGATCCAGGGTGAAGATTGTCGTCTTCACCCTCATCACTGACTTCAGTCTCAGAAGAAACTAAATGCCTTTTCTCAATATTTGGCTGTAAATTAGTACTTGGATCTGGTTCTCTGTCAGGTTCTGGTCCTCCACTGATCTCTCCATCAGGTTCTGTTTTCATCTGTTCAGCTGAGCTGCTGGTTGGAGCTTCTGTCTCCCTGCTGTCTTCACTTTTGATGTGATGAACTTCAGGCAACTGAGGTTTCTCTTCTTCATTCTTCACAGTAAGCTGATCTATTTCCTGACTGATCCACTGTTCCTCCTCCTCTGTCTTCACCTGTGAACATGTGAGGTTCTGCTGGTCCAAACTGGATCTGCTCACACCAGGAATCTCGTCTTTAACCACCCACAGTTGCTGATTTCCTGCAGCAAACACGTGAAATAAATGTATCCTGTATTATACATGCATGACGGATATAATGAACATATTCTTGGGTCGGCCCTAAATATTGTCACAACATATTGACAGTTTCAACAAATATGTAAAAGACTATATATGTAAAGTATATACTGCAACTTTATATGTCATATTTTACATTATTAGATTAACAAGCCTACACTGCTCTTTTCAGGAAGCCCAAGTATTTGCGTCCAGTGAGCTTCCATCATTTTGAGGCAGCAATTAATGCTTCTAAATAAGCACAAGTGGGAAAACAGAGCATGGTGGCTGACTGATATCTGTCAACCTGACAGTGAGCATGACACATTAAGTTGAAAAAAAAAAAACACTGATTTTCTCAGTGAATAAAAAAAAAACACAAAACTGTGTAAGATCAACTTTTTTTTTGTTTGACAAGGAGCAGTGGATTAAAATTAAAGTAAGCCTTGACGTGACTACACAGACAAATCAATTAGAAGACTGATTGATGCCACCTCAGGGCAACGAGACCTGTTCTGCCCCAGTTCACATCTATGTGTTTATGTCTACAGTAGGAACTCAGCTGTCTGCATCTCTATCCCTTTCTCTTCATTCTTCCACAGGCTCTCATGATGAGAACCATTCCAAAATGATCAGATTAAGTGTTTTACCTTCACTTTCTTCCTTCACGGAATCAACAAAGCTGGATTGTTCTCCAAATGTGATGATTTCCATCGTAACCGTGGTCCTCTTGCGCCCCTAATGCTCTGGCTTTACAGGAAAATAGGGTTGCACTTTAAATCGAAAAGCTCACACTCATACGGAATCCGACAGATTCAAAATTGTGATGGACCTCAGATGGATTTTGGTCAGGCATCTGCACAGACACACGCAGCCCTCTTGTCTCACTGCTGCCATCTGCTGGAGACAGTTGGCTCCAACAACGTTCAAATGTTCCAAGATAAATAAATCAAACAAAAATGGAGAGATACATAAATAGGTACCCAATAAAAATAATATATCTCGAAGTTAAATATATCAATCAGTTATTTCAGGAATACTTTTCCACACAAAATGAAATATATCCCCCCTTTATTTTTTGTATTTGTGATGATTACTCCTTACAGATTAGGAAAACCTCAAATTTGTCAGTTGTAAATGGAAATATATTGTACAGTCAGGAAATCAGAAGGTTACAGAGCATTGTGTTGGACTTCTTTAACCAAATAGTAACCAGCATCCCATGCCGTCGTCATTTTCTGGGGGATAATCATGATACGCTCTGGAAAAACTAAGACAAGTCTTAATGTTTTTTTTGTTCAGCAGTGGTTTTCAATTTGGAACTCAATGGTAATTTTGCGACAGACTGGCGACCTGTCCAGGGTCGCCTGGAACGTTAGCTGGAGATAGGCACCAGAAACCCCTCCCAACCCCACTGGGGACAAGGATGTGAGAAAATGGATGGATGGTCATTTCTGCCAGTTTCTTTCTGTTGCTTTAGGCCTGACCTGTGACTTTAACTGAGTCAAGTGAAGCCTGCAGGTTTTTGTCATAGGGTCTTTTGTGACCTCTTGGATCAGTTGTTGTTGTTGCACTCTTGGGGTAATTTTGGTCAGTGATCCTTGCAAGGTTCCCCACTGTCCCATGTTTTCACAATTTGTGGATAAAGGCAATCACTGGTTTGATCGAGTCCCAAAGCTTTAGAATTAGAAATCACTGACATGTGACAAAAAAGGAAATCAGGAAGGGGGCAGTCAAAACAAAAAATATGAACATTAATCCTAATTAAAAGGAAACAAACTCAGGGTTTACCCCCCAGAAAACTTGCTAAGCCCAGTGGTCGGGGCACCGAGGCAGTCCACCAGTGGTCCATCATGTTTTTGTATTAAAAGATGTTAAGTAGACAGGAGATGTAAAAGTATTTCTGGGTAATTACTGAAAAACATTTAAACTATAACCTTGATGAAAAACTCTGGAAAGAAACATAATTCCTCACAGGAAGTTGATGTAAATATCCATACAGGTGAGCCTGTGTCCGGTTTGAGTGAAAGGAGGCGTGCGCGATCCGCGCTGAGGTAAACTTAAGACATCCATCTGCAGTAGCGTGAGGCAACGCGCAGAGGGGCCAGCGGTGTTGTTGGTCCGGCTTTAAATGCAATAAACTTATCTTTTGGGAATAAATCTGCTCCGTCAGTGAAACGCTCAGAACAGAGACGCTTGCAATCCAGCTTTAAGAAAAAAGAAATGTATTTTTTATTATTTACCTAAAAACATAAACAAGAAAAGCTCCGCCTGGCAGTGGGGCTAGTAAAGCACGGCGGGCCACCAAGCCTATAAGACTCTGGCGGAAACCCTGAAAATGCAAGCTGCTGTGGGATTGAAGTAGAAAATCTTTCCAAATGAACTGAAATCTCTATTCACTGTGAATTCTCCGTTTGTGATTCTTCAGACCCTCAGCTCTCGTAAACTTCTTCAAACAAATATTGCATCTAAATTGATCCTTTCTTGAGTGAATAACCATATGTCTTTCAACGTGACTCTTCTGCACAAACATTCTTCCACATTCTTCACAAGCAAAGCAACCCTTTCCAGACCACACATTCTCCTCTTTTGCATGAAATTTCATATGTTTCAGAAGGTCAGACTTTCGAGTGAACTTTTTATCACATTTATCACACGGCAGCAGATTCTCCCCAGTGTGGCGTCTAACATGCAGGCTCAGACTTGTTTCGCGAGTAAATCTGCCACCACAATACCCACAAATGAATGGCTTTACATCTAAGTGGGTTACCATGTGACCTTTTAGTTCATATGCAAGTCTGAAGCATTTGCCACAGTCGCTGCATCCAAATGGCTTTTCTCCCTTATGGATGGTCATGTGAATTTTAAGGGATGTCTTCCGGCTAAACCTTTTATCACACTGATCACAGGCAAATGGTTTTTCTTCACTGTGGCACACCATGTGACTTTGAAGACAAAACTTCTGTCTAAATGTTTTGCCACATTTATCACAGGCAAAGGGTTTTTCTCCAGTGTGGTGTCTCTGGTGATTTTTTAAGTGAGCCTCGGAATAAAAGCTTTTACCACAGTCTTTACAAACTAATTTTTCAGCACAATGGACTCTCTTAATATGAGCTTTAAGAGTAGCTTGCATCTGAAAGGTTTTACCACAATCATCACAAGAAAAGGATTTCCTTCCTGGTTTGAGTCTCGTCTGTGAATCCCTATTCCGCTTCCTTTTAGAGTGATTCTTCTCAACTGAACAGCTGGAAGATGTTTTATCCTGAATGACCTGCTATATTTTTCTGGAACATCTGCTTCCTCACAAACTGTTTACCGCAGTCAGGACAGCTGAAGGCCTTCTTGGCAGCTTTACGTCCCGCTTTACTCTTTACACCTGACTGACGTGTTCTGGGTTCCCTCCAATCTTCATCACTGTCTTCATTTTCAGATCCAGAACCTGATAGATTGTCATCTATACCCTCATCACTGACTTCAGTCTCAGAAGAGACTGAATGCCTATTTTCAATGTTTGGCTGTGAATTAGTACTTGGATCCGGTTCTCTGTCGGGTTCTGGTCTTCCACTGATCTCTCCATCAGGTTCTGTTTTCATCTGTTCAGCTGAGCTGCTGGTTGGAGCTTCTGTCTCTCTGCTGTCTTCACTTTTGATGTGATGAACTTCTGGCAACTGAGGTTTCTCTTCTTCTTCTTTCTTCACATTAAGCTGCTCTACTTCCTGACTGATCCACTGTTCCTCCTCCTCTTCCTTCTTCACCTGGTAACATGTGAAGTTCTGCTGGTCCAAACTGGAAATACTGAGATCAGGAACCTCTTCTTTAACCACCAGCAGCTGCTGCTCTTCTGTAGGAAACACATGAACATAGGCCTGTCACAATAACAAATTCTTATTAATAATAAACTAATATTTGAAGGCATTGAATGCAACTGCTAGGACTGTGTCTGTAGTTTGAGCTCTCTGTATACATCTGTGGTGCAGATATATACAGATTCTTGTGTGAAGAACCATATGTCTTTCAACGTGACATAAAAAGTTTTTCCCAGTTTACCTCGTGCTTTGATCGACTCGATTGGTCACAATTATTTCCTCATCATCAAATGAAGTGTTTTACCTTCGCTCTCTTCCTTCACAGAGTCAAACATGCCGCATTGTTCTCCCGATGAGCAACTTTCCATCGTGATCTTCATCCTAATGTCCTGGTTTTACCGGAGAATAATCCGGTAAAACCAAATTTCTTATGAGCTCGCACTCATAAGAAATCCGGTGGATCCAAATTGTTCTTCATGTGGCTGGCAACAAAGCTTAAAAGTGGGCATTACCGCCACCTGCTGGTGTGGAGCGTGGTTCTTCGTGGTATAGTTTACACATGAAAACAAAGACAAAACGTCATATGTCACCATATTTCTTTAACAATCACATTATGAAAAATACAAGTTCTTCTTCACTATTACTATTACACTAAACTTTTTATTTTTCCAAACTCTCCCTTTTTTTTTTTTTTTTTATAAATCTTTACGACAGTCTAATATAACATGTTTTATGGTTTATGGTGAACAGTTGTTAAGAAAAGCAAACTTTGAAACCATCCATGAGAAAAAAGTGACTGATAAAGAAGCTGGTGTTACTGTGATTTCTCATGTGTGGATGACCACTCTTCTTTTTTTTTTTTCAATAAACGAGACCTAAAATGCTCTATCAGCCAAAATATCAACTCCTCTGGTATCCATCCTCATTTCACCTCACCCAGACACTTTACATCTGCTACAGTCGCTGCACCTAAATGGTTTTTCTTCTTATACTTGATATACCGTATATTGAATAAAAAAATAGAATATCCTGAAGTTAAATATATTAGTCATTTATTTCAGGAAAGAAACTCACATATTACATAAATTCCACACCAAATGAAAAACAACACACCTTTAGTTTTTGTATTTGTAATGATCATGGCTTACAGCTCAAGAAAATTTCAAATTGAAAGTCAGTCGTCAATTAAAATATATTGTCCAGTCACATAATAAGAAGGCTACAGAGAATTGTGCTGCATTTCTTCTTTAAGCAAATAGTAACCCATATCCCATGCTCTCATTGTTTTCCGGCTGGTCGCATGTGTCCTCGCGCTGATCTCTCCATCATGACAATAAGGTAAGAATTGGCCCATTGTTGCCACACCAATATATGTGGTGGCTGACATCTAAACTTCTTAACTGCTGCATGTGCTTTGGTGAGAGGAAAATCCACAGGGTGGAATCATAATTGATCACTTTGAGTGAAGCATATCACTCAAAGGGATGAATTTTTACAGAAAGGAGTCACATTCAGACAATCCCACAATATGTCTATAAATGATCCGAGAATATTAACTGGGAATGAGTCACATGTAGAAGATGTAATGAATTCTGTGTCACATTTAAAACTGCATGTAACTCCATCCATCCATCCATCCATCCATCCATCCATCCATCCATCCATCCATCCATCCATCCATCCATCCATCCATCCATCCATCCCATCCATCCATCCATCCATCCATCCATCCATCCATCCATCCATCCATCCATCCATCCATCCATCCATTTTCTAAATCCATCCATCCATTTTCTAACACCCTTGTCCCTAGTGGGGTCAGGAGGGGTGCTGGTGCCAATCTCCAGCTAACATTCTGGGTGAGAGGCGGGGTTCACCCTGGACAGTTTGCCAGTCTGTCGCAGAGAAACACAGAGACAGACATGACAAACAACCATGCACACACACACTCACACCTAGGGAGAATTTAGAGAAACCAATTTACCTGACAGTCATGTTTTTGGTGTGTGGGAAGAAGCCGGAGTACCCGGAGAGAACCCACAGATGCACAGGGAGAACACGCAAACTCCGTGCAGAAAGACCCCGGGCCGGGAATCGAACCCAGGACCTTCTTGCTGCAAGGCAACAGTGCTACAATATGTAACTATATAAGCTATAAATATATATATATTACATATATATATATATATATTTTTTTTTTTAACATTTGTTAGTAAACGGAAGCAAATTGTAAGCTGCTGTGGTACTTTTACTAAACATCTTTTCAAATGAACTGAAATCTTTATATATTGTGAATTTTCAGTTTGTGATTCTTCAGACCCTCAGCTCTCGTAAACTTCTTCAAACAAATATTGCATTTAAATTGTTTCTTTCCTGTGTGGACAACCATATGTCTTTCAACGTGAAGCTTCCGGACAAACCGTCTTCCACATTCTTCACAAGCAAAGTCCCCCTTTCCAGACACAACATTCTTCTCTTTTGCATGAACCTGCATATGTCTTTGAAGGTAAAACTTTCGAGCAAACTTTTTATCACATTTATCACACGACAGCAGATTCTCCCCAGTGTGGCGTCTAACATGCAAGCGCAGGCTTGCTTCACGAGTAAATCCGACACCACAATACCCACAAATGAATGGCTTTACATCTAAGTGGGTTACCATGTGGCCTTTAAGATCAGTCTTAAGTCTGAAGCACCTGCCACAGTCACTACAAGCAAATGGTTTTACTCCTTTATGGATGGTCATGTGAAGTTTAAGGTGCATTTTCCGGCGAAACTTTTTATCACATTTATCACAGGCAAATGGTTTTTCTTTACTGTGGCACACCATGTGACTTTGAAGGTGGTACTTAAGGCTAAACCTTTTTCCACATTTGTCACAGGCAAAGGGTTTTTCTCCAGTGTGGTGTCTCTGGTGATTTTTTAATTCAATCTCAGAATAAAAGCTCTTACCACAGTCTTTGCAAACTAATTTTTCACCACGATGGACTCTTTTAATATGAGCTTTAAGAGTAGCTTTCATCTGAAAGGTTTTACCACAATCATCACAGGAAAAGGATTTCCTTCCTGGTTTGAGTCTCGTCTGTGAATCCCTATTCCGCTTCCTTTTAGAGTGATTCTTCTCAAGTGAACAGCTGGAAGATGTTTCTCCTGAATGACCTGCTACATGTTTCTGGAACATGTGCTTCCTCACAAACTGTTCACCGCAGTCAGGGCAGCTGAAGGTCTTCTTGGTAGCTTTACTTTCCACTTTGTTGTTTACACCTGACTGACATGTTCTGGGTTCCCTCCAATCTTCATCACTGTCTTCATTTTCAGATCCAGAACCTGATAGATTGTTGGGTTCCTTCCAATCTTCATCACTGTCTTCAGTTTCAGATCCAGAACCTGATATACTGTCGTCTTCACCCTCATCACTGTCTTCATTGTCGGGACAGCTGAAGGCCTTCTTGGCAGCTTTACGTCCCGCTTTGCTCTTTATACCTGACTGACGTGTTCTGGGTTTCCTGCAATCTTCATCACTGTCTTCATTTTCAGATCCGGAACCTGATAGATTGTCGTCTTCACCCTCATCACTGACTTCAGTCTCAGGAGAGTCTGAATGCCTTTCTTCAATATTTGGCTGTGAATTAGTACTTGGATCTGGTTCTCTGTTGGGTTCTGGTCCTCCACTGATCTCTCCATCAGGTTCTGTTTTCATCTGTTCAGCTGAGCTGCTGGTTGGAGCTTCTGTCTCTCTGCTGTCTTCACTTTTGATGTGATGAACTTCTGGCAACTGAGGTTTCTCTTCAAAGTCATTTTTCTCAGAATGACTGATCCCGTGTTCCTGCTCTTCCTTCTTCACCTGGCAACATGTGAGGTTCTGCTGGTCCAAACTGGAAATGCTCATCTCAGGAACCTCTTCCTTAACCACCAGCCGCTCTTCTGTAGGAAACACATGAACATAGGCCAGTCAGAATTACAAATTTTGCTTGAAATTGTCCCAGTAGTTCTTGTGATAAATCATAATATTGTTGTTTGAGACCATTTTCAAATGATATAATGGTAATACCTCAATAATGCAAGATCACATTAGTAAACTTTAAATTCTATTGAAATTTAACACTGGAACTGGATGACATGTTAAATACTCAAACAACAAATACAATGAATTATGACGTTTTCTTTATCATGTGATTGTTTATTGTTGCAGCATGCCGACATGGACATCTTGGCTATATTTTATACCAAGAACTGGTTATTGTGAGGATTACAAGCAATGTGTTGTTGAAGAGTGAGCTGTTTCCCATTAGTTTAGCAGCCAAATCCCTTCCTCTGCACACCTTCTCCTTTAGAAAGCCTAATGATAGCTTTACATACCTTGGAATTCAAATTACATATAAAATTTAAAGTATTTTTAAGGCAAACCTTTCTGCCTTAAACATTAGTCCTTGCTTGGCTTGTCTTTGGTAGCACACATAAACTTTATGCTCTTCCACATTTTTTATATTTATTCTAGTATGTTCCAGTCTTCCTTACTAATTCCTTTTTTAAGCAGTTAGATGGTCTCATTTCTGACTTTCTTTGGAAAGAAAAGACGCTGCGTCTGTCTAGGCAATACTTACAAGGACCTAAATCACTTGGGGAGATAGCCTTACCCAATTTCAGGAACTACTACTGGGCCTCCAATATTAGAGTTTGTTGTTGCCCAGTAGCCAACCCCACCCCTTCCTCCTACACTGGGCCACCAATGACTAGCTTTCTGTCTAACGGGTCCAGAGAACCCCTAAAGACCTTGAGTCTTACTCTATGTTCGGATTTGATGGGGTAATCTTTTTAAGCTGGTATTGAGAGAGAGTCATCCCGCCTACATCAAAGTGCTACACCCTTTTTCAGTTAGTGAAGCAATAAGCTGAGTGGCCCTGCAGCTGCCCAACTCCAAAAACTTCACCTGATGATGGCAGAAGTCTCTCTGGTCAACAACAATCACTTGTTCAAGACTAGAATATTTTTACTAACGCAACAAAAGCTCCAAGGGTATTGTTAGTAACCAACTAAGGAAACTTTTGAAACCTCCAATTTTCAAGAACCACGTAACACAAACTTTTACAACCATCAGAAGAACTCTGCTCAGAAAATGACTCAATGAATTTGATTGTCTACAAATCATCTTAGAATTGTAATGCATCTATTTTAAGCAAGCTTTCAGGCTTGTAAGTAAGATGTCAAATTTAATAATTAATAATTTCAGATTCAAAATAAAACTTAAAATCAAATGTACTCCATCTAAAACTATTACCATTTGTAGGTTATTACGCAATAGCCAGCCCCGCCCTAATCCTCACAATAAAGACTTTAAGTCCCGTCTGCATCCCAACACAGAGTGCCTGATGGTAGTGGCACCAACTCCTGGGACACCCTTCGGATCCTTGACTTCTGAGTCGCCTTCCTGGGCTTGCTGTTCTCCGGTAGCTCTTCATCTGTCGCGTTGCCTTCATCGTCAGCGCTGCTCTCAGACAGGTCCCTCAGCGACGTCGGCTGCTTCCTCTCTGTGCTATGGGCTGGTGGCTAGAACTTCTTTCTTGAACCCTGAGGTGTAGTCCAGTCGTCCAATACTTTCTGCAACCGCTGCACGGTGAACTGATGATGGGAAGTTCCTCCTCCAGCCTCTCCTGGTGAATCCTCGTAGTTGCCGGATGGACTCGGTCGACGCTGGTCAGGCGGTGGACTGTGCTGATCCAGCTTTTCCCCGCTGAGGTTCCTTGTTAAGTCAATAGTCTCCGTTTTCTTATTCTGGGGTGTCAGGGCTCTGCTGGGGACAGGGGATGGTGGTTCACCCGCGTCCGAGTCGTCCGGTTCCATGTTCTGGGTTGGTCTTTGTTCTTTCTCCCTTCGCTTCCTATAGGCTGCCCCAACACCTCTTTGCACTCTTGATATCGGTAGGTTCCTTTGGCGTATGTATCCACCAGGATCCCATCTATCCCAGCTACTCAGGATGCTGTCTTTACTATGCCGTCATACTTCTCAGAGGCACTGTAGATAGTCATTATTCCCCCATCAGTCCAATTCTCAAGCAGGTCAGCTAGCCATTCCAGCCAAGCTTTGATTTCACTTTTCTTGCTGACTTCCACTGGGCTGCGGATAACACCCAGCCGGGCGCCACCCATCATTCTGGAGCAGTAGTAGATGCCTCGATCTCTTATCATGGCGGTCATCGTGGCTTGAATATTATCCTTTTTCTCTGTGAAGTGATGAGCGAAGAATGTCCGCTGATTTATCGTCGCCCAGTGTTCCAGCCCTTCTCCGAAGAGCATCAGTTTTACTGGAAGCTTCTTTAACATGGATTGGGAGAGAACAGACGGTTCTCCCCCTCCTTCCCGGCCATGTCCTTCATGGCTGGGGTTGTCATTTACTGGTGAGAACGATAACATTTGGTGCCAAATGTTATCGTTCACTGGCACTCATCTTCGTCTTTGCCTTCGAGTTGCCTGTCCCCAAAGCCTCTCTTGATGTCATTGAGTAGGGATGGTTTCAGGCTGCAGTGGCTACTGGTTTCACTGTCTGGATCTGGTCATTTATCCTCAGTAAAAGCTTTCCCTCACCTGCACGCTGTACAGTTACTGCAAGGATTGTGACTGGAGGCCTATCAGTCACCACTAACTCTATTTCCTTAGAGTCATTGCACTAAGTGAGGTATTCAGATTCACACATCTGTTTTTACTGACTTAGAACGTAGGGCCCTCCTACTATTATTTGGAACCGCCCCACGTTGGGCACAGGTTCCTGTTCACTTCAGGTCCCGATTCGGGCGCCATGTAGGTTATTATGCAATGCCGTTCAATTGCGCCCTAATCCTCACAACTCCTCTGGGCTGACTACTGACCAGCTCTCCGTCTAACGGGTCCGGAAAGTTCCTGAAACCTGGGTGTTACCCTGCAGAAGGTATGAAAGGAACAATCTGTCTAAGCTGGTGTCGAGAGAGACTCGTCTGGCTCTAACTACCTACTATCCAGAAGTTATGACCCTTTTCAGTTAAGAAGCAATCAGTTGAGTAGCCCTCACAACTGCATAACTCCAATAACCACTCCTGTTAACGGTAGCCCTCTCTCTAAGAATAACGAGCACTTGTTACCGGCTAGAATATTTTTAGTGACTTTGTAAGTCCCAGGGTCATTATTTTATATGTGAACTAAAGGAAAGTCTGAAGCCACCACTTTTCTAGAACCATGTACATTGATTTTACATTAAGTAGAAGAACCAATATTAATAGGATGACAATTAATTTCAATGTCCACAAACCTCATTAGAATTTTGATATGTATATATTTATTTGAGCAAGCTTTAAGCAAGGGTAAATGGCAAACAGATTAATATTCAATGATTATAAGTTTTAAAGATTAAAATTTTAAATTTGTATAAAATCAACATAAACCTCTCCTAACACCTTTCCCTAACAGTGTCATCAATTTACTAAGAAGGCTTTTCGGGGTGCAGGCGACTCATACCCAGATGACAGGGGATCTCAGCAACAGAAGTGTTAATGTCCTTGGGCAGAGTCTTGTCTTGGTGCGACGAATCCTCATCCGAACAGGAACAAAGCAGAGTTGGTAGTCATCTTTCAAATGTCCCAAATATTCATCACTTTTGTGATCTTTGTCCAGTCCCCAAGTCCGTTGCAGTAATTCTTGAGATCTTTTTTGGGGTTGAGTGTGGAGCTTCAGTCGAATTAGGAGCCAGAGTTGTTAGGCGTCCCGTCTTTTCTTCCAGCAAAGTGTAGATTGTCTTCCCTCTGGGTCCGGGCGAAGCTCCTCGGTGTCCTCCTGGCCCGCTGTTGCTCCTCCCACTTGCTGAAGATGAAGAACCAGCTTTCTGTTTATTCGCATATTTATATTCTTTTCTCCCGTTGTTGTGCGTGGGGAGCAGATTAGCTACATGATTTTCCAAGAATGTGATTACTTCATACCAGACTCCCTGCCCTTCCATATTTGGTCAACAGTTGCTCCCTTCTGCTCTGGTGTAATTACATCATAGGTTCCTGGCTGATTTCCCAGAATACATTCAGACCAGGCCTCTCCTCCCACTTATCATTTTTATTATTATTCAGCCAGTTGCTGTTATACTATCTCTTCCAGGGTGGATTTTTACATGTCAAATGCTTTTCTCTCTGCACCCAAAGACTGTCCCTACACTCTTACTTATTTTGATTTTGATCTTTAATATGCTTATACAGACATACAATTCATCAACATAATTATTTCTGATACATTTCTTCAATCATTTCTTCTTAGTACTCATTACTTTTGATTCAGTATGATTATACTTCATTGTTTAAGTGGTTTATATAATTTTCAACAATCAATTTCAGAACTTACTTCATGATCATCAATACTTTGACATAATACGTTTTTCCATAATCAACATTGAATCATCATACAAGATTACTTCAGTCTCTCAGGCCCATTATGATCTGTTTTCTGCTTTAACCTGAAAAGATCTCATCCATTAACGTCAGTTTTCACAACACAAGCCTGATCAGGACGCATATCCTAATTTGTTGAATAAGACTGCATGGCATGCACGTTTCAGTTTTAGCTTTATTTTAAGAACTTAAAAAAAACAAAACGGCCTTCCACTAACTACAGCGCCCCGCCCTCCTTTCCCCCTGATCCTCCCAGCCAACTCAACACAAACTTACACCCTTGTCTTTGTCCTAATAAACTCTTTCCTGTTTGCTTCGATCGACTCTAAAGATCACATCTGTGTCATAGTGATCAGATGAAGTGTTTTACCTTCTCTCTCTTCCTTCACAGAGTCAACGAAGCTGCGTCGTTCTCCAGCTATGCAACTTTCCATCGTGATCTTGCTGCTGGTTCCAATGGGAAACGGGGTTAGAAGAGCGACGTGCTGCTCGACAGTGAAGCGAAAGTGTCGTGCAGTGCTTTTTGATCGCCGTGTCAAAAATGACGGGTTCCCTTCCTCAAGCGTTGCTCGCACTTTCGGGCGTCTGGAGCTGCTTTTGACGTCATGCACTGCTTGGCAGCAGGACCCTCCTCCGCCCCCCAAAGGGAGGGTCTTTGAAAAAATGTGGGCGGGTCTTGCAAGTATTCCAAAGGCTTTGAAATGATACTGTATATGCACCCAAACTGTCTTTGTATAAATTAGTATAAGTTAGAGAGAGAGAGAGCCTGAACTTCAGGTTCTGAAGTTGAGTGGTTTGTGTGCATGGAGTCGAGATCGAAAGAGGAGTTTAGATAGTTTCAACAGATTGAGTGATTGTGTGTGATTCTGAGTGTATGTTTCTAAAATAAAGTGAGATTCTGAGTTTAGACTGGTTCTGGATGCTCTACCATTTGAAGCTGGCTCTAAAGCTGGAGAAATAGTGAGACAACAAACGGAACAAAAAGTTCACCAAACCTGGGAAACTTAGTTCAGTAGACACATCTTGTTTCATTAGTTTGTACACCATTTGCAGCATGCTCAGAAAAATATCTCGACTGTGATACAAAAAACATTACATTTATGCGATACATAAAGGAACATTATTTAATACAAATAAAACATTTTGCATTTAAAGAAAAACTGCTTCACAGTTTCTAAATAAAGTATGTAATATGTTTAATAAAGTATGTAAAATATTCTGAATTATTGTTTTAAACTCAATAATACAATTGCAATATATATTTTTTATTTCGTTTACTTGTGCTCTCCTGATTTTCTGCTCTTAATACGTCAGTTTCTCTAAAATCATTGTATTAAGGTGCTAGGTGTTGGATTCTAATTATTATTATTATCATTATTATTATTATTCAGCCAGTTGCTGTTATACTATCTCTTTCAGGGTGGATTTTTATTTTGCATTATTTTCGTTTTACATTGCTGTAATTTACATTGATTTTAAATGTTTTGAGGAAAGTTACACTTTCCTCTGTTGTTAGAAAGTGTAACTAACACAATGTTAGATCACTGGTTTTCCTCTCCTTTCTAAAACCACGATTAATCCTTTTTTCTATTAAATTACATATACTAGACGTTAAAGCAATTAGCATGTTGTTTTCCTACTTTATGTTGTGATTCACATTATGGCCCACAGCAGGATTTTGATCAGGCATCTTCACGGCCACAGGCTGTCTTGTGTCTCACTGCTGCCATCTGATGGACTTAAGAACCTACAACATTCAGAATTTCTTAACCCTCCTGTTATGTGGGTCAAATTGACCCGTTTTAAAGTAAAAAATAAATAAAAATCTTTTCTGTTCTCGTGGGCAAACTCCACCCACACTGAGTGGACTCTCAGCAGAAGTGGAGGAAACATAAATACTCTCTGCATGACTCATTTGTCTTGATTTTAATCAGCAGGTCAATTTGATCCAAAACATTATATGTGTCTGAAGTTCATTATCAATATCAAGAAAATTAATTAAAAATGTAATATAAAAACACCCTTCATAATGTCAATTTCCAGGATATTCATTGTTTTTGTGTGTAGATTTTTTCAGCAGACATACAAAAAAATGTGTATTACATTTATCATACAAATGAATAAATTGCCATCATTGATCCTTTATTTGTAAGAAATAAAATGTCATTGCACAAATATTGATTTGAAATGGTTAGTAAGGGAGTTAATAATCAGATACAAACTGCTCTGGAGGATTTTTTTTGTTTGTTTCTGACACAATTTGCATGATCAAACACTCCACAGGTCAAAGTGACCCAGGAACATTATTGTTGTACCTCAGAAACGAATCTAACAGGAGTTAGAGTGGACTGGCATGTAAATATGTACAGCTACATCTTTAAAAAACTTAAAATACCTTGAAGAAATATTTTCATGACTTATTTCAGAGAGAGAAACTTCTATTATCTAGCTTTCAAGCCTTTATTTCTTGTAATTGTTACATTTATGGCTTACAGATCATGAAAACACAGAACTCAAGTATCTCCAAAAAGCAGAATAACATTTCTGTATTGAAAATGTGTTGTGTTACACTCTAATCACTGAAGTAACTTGATGACCATCCAGAAAGTTTTTCAGAGCCTGGATTCTCAGTCTGGGTCAATGAACTACACAGCAGCAGGGAGGACTGCTGACCGTACAGATGTTCAGAAAAACAAACATTGAAACCATCCGCAGGGAGGGCGAACCACAAAAAGTCAATGCTAAAGAAGTTGTTCGTTCCAAGTATATTCATAAAAAAATGGTTTGAAAATATGCACTGGCAATAGAGATAACGGCAGCCTCGGTAGAATTGTACATAAAATCCATTCAATAATTCATTTGCAAGCCTTGAGTCAGCTCATCAAGATCCACGAAGGACAAATTCGTTGACAGCTTTTCACAGAAGATCCTGTATAAAACAGAATTTGTCTCATTGTTACTGTGATTCCTCATGTGTGTATGACCTCAGTTCTTTTTTCCATAAATGAGCCCAGAGGCCCAAGATGCTCAACTGTTACCATCAACAACAACATCAACTCTTCTGGTATCCGTCCTCACATCGCGTCGGCTGACCTCTATTTAGTACTAGAACGTTTAAGACAAAAGAAGTTTGACATAAAATAAACGTAAAAATAAGGCAATTTTTTGACACTTTTTGTAACATTTTGTGTTGCATACTTTACTGAAACAATACATTTATTTATATGCACTTGTTAAAAATAGAAATAATGAACACAATAAAAAAAGAAATTCACTTTATGCTTGGGCAGAAATATCCAGACCCACAGTGAGCTGCCAAAATCATTTTATCACAGAGCGCAGGCCGTTTTCCCCATTATTTTCTAATACCAGACACTTACGACGAAGCAAAGATATCATGTCAAACTCAAAACGTTAAAGCTAATCCTGATCAAAGGGAAGCAAAATAATCTGAACCGCAGTGGCATTGGCACAGAACGTCTTCCCAAACGAATTCTCTGTACGAAATCTCTGTTTACCGTGAATCCTCAGTTTGTGATTCCTCAGATTTTCCGCTCGCGTAAACAACTTCAAGCACAGATCGCAACTGAACGGTTTCTCCCCTGTGTGCATGAGCATGTGACTTTTTAAATACCGCTTCTGGACAAACCTTCTACCACATTCCTCGCAAGCAAAGTTTCCCTTCCCGGTCACCACTTTCTCCTCCTTCTGATGAATTTGCATGTGTTTCAGAAGGCGACTCTTAAGGACAAACTTTTTATCACATTGGTCACATGACAATTGATTCTCTCCAGTGTGGAGTCTAACATGCAGAAGCAAACTTTGTTTCCGAGTAAAACTAGCGCCACAATACCCACAGACAAACGGTTTTACATTTGAGTGGGTTATCATGTGGCTTTTTAGAACATCCTTAAGTCTGAAACATCTGCCACAGTCGCTGCACCTAAATGGTTTTTCCCCTTTATGGATGGTCATGTGGGCCGTCAGAGATCCATTTGAGGTGAACTTCTTATCACATACCTCACACTGAAATGGTTTCTCTCCCGTGTGGCAAGTCATGTGAACTTGAAGGCCAGGCTTCCGGCTAAACCTTTTACCACATTTATCACAGACAAAGGGTCTTTCTCCTGAGTGGGGTCTATGGTGAGTTTTCAAATGACATCGACTGTGAAAGATTTTACCGCAATCTTCACAAACAATTGATTTTTCACAGCGGTAGATTCTCACATGACACTTAAGAGCACCGAGTTTCTGAAATGTTTTACCACAATCATCACAAGAAAAGGATTTTCTGTCTGTTTCAAGTCCCATCTGTGATTCAACATCTTTCTTCCCTTTAGAGTGATTCTTCTCAACTGAACAGCTGGAAGACTTTCCTCCTGAATGAACTGCTATATGTTTCTGGAACATCTGCTTCCTCACAAACTGTTTAAAGTGGTCAGTGCAGCTGAAGTCTTTTTCGGCAGCTTTACATCCAGCTTTACTCTTTACACCTGACTGACGTGTTCTGGGTTCCCTCCAATCTTCATCACTGTCTTCATTTTCAGATCCAGAATCTGATAGATTGTCGTCACTGACTTCAGTCTCAAAAGAAACTAAATGCCTTTCTTCAATGTTTGGCTGTGAATTAGTACTTGGATCTGGTTCTCTGTCGGGTTCTGGTCCTCCACTGATCTCTCCATCAGGTTCTGTTTTCATCTGTTCAGCTGAGCTGCTGGTTGGAGCTTCTGTCTCTCTGCTGTCTTCACTTTTGATGCGATTCACTTTTGACAATTGAGGTTTCTCTTCATATTCTTTCTTCACAGTGAACTGCTCCACCTCCTGACTGATCCACTGTTCCTCCTCCTCTTCCTTCTTCACCTGGTAACATGTGAAGTTCTGCTGGTCCAAACTGGAAATACTGAGATCAGGAACCTCTTCTTTAACCACCCACAGTTGCTGATTTCCTGCAGCAAACACATAGATCTCTTGGTTAGAATTCCTACCAAAGTCTCTTTATTGTGAATGTTTTATGGTAGAATTATTGTGTGGGCCTATAGAACGTACAAAAGCATGAAAATAACCCGAACCTGGAACCTCCACAAACTACTGGACCAATGAGTAGAAAGAAGTAAACTGGCTCATATTTGCAACAACTTGTAAAATCACTTGAAATTTAAAACCAGAATAACTTTACTGTGTCCACATTGGAAGCAAAAGTCTTACTTTCAGGTTGAACTAAACTTGCTTTTTAAATTTTTTTTTTTAGAAATAAAGGCTGTACTCAGACATACACAGCATAAGACAAACAACCTTTTCTCCCAGACTGAAGTTTGTTTAGCACCAGTAAAGGAGGTCTGCGGCTCTGCTGGTCAAAACTGGAGCAGCTCAGATCAGGAACCTCTTCTTTAATCACCAACGGCTGCTGCTCTTCTGCAGGAAACACAAACATATTAGTTACATGTCACTTCAAAATCTGTGTATTGTGGGGTATTAGAAGTAATGTGTTCAGTGGTTGAAAGCACTTTTTTCCAATTTTGACATTTGGGAAATTAGTATCTGTGAGCGTAACTCAGGTCTTATATTGTGCAACTCCCAGCTCTAACTTTTTCTCTGTCTCTACCTTCCTAGTTGTCATTTTTGCTGCTCTCTCTTGTCTCTTTCCCCATTTGGTTTCCTCTGCTACAGGCTTTCCATATCTCCAAAAGCTACTGAGGAAGAAATTGAGATTAACTATTGATCTGTTCCTTTTAATCTTCTTTTGTATCGGTCATCATGGCTGCATTTCTGGCTCTTGTGTCTTTTGGTTCCATTTGGGCTAATCTTTTGTTGTTCTCACCCTTCTCAGTTGCATTTCCCTCCATTGTAACACATTTGTTCAATAAGGAAGGAAGATTTGTTAAATTACTCACATGACATCTGTCTTTGCTGAGTCAGCATCAGAGACAATTTAAACTAATTCCATTTCTCCATTTTGTTGCCTCTTTCATTATCATTGGGTTGCATCATTAACCCTAATGGTGCCACGTTCTTGTCTCTTGCCCCAGTCTTTTTTCCCCCTTCTCTGCTTAATCTCTTTCCTGAATAATTGTTTAGAATTACACTGGCTAGTTTTTAGAAGTTCATTTAGGGAACGGAGAATTGATCCTATCAAAATTGGCAAGATAGAACTAGATGATTTAAGAAAGTAATATGTAACCCCTCCAACAAAGAACTTCCGAATTTAATTTTTGAGATTTCCTGATATTTTTAATAAGTTTATGTACATGATGTTCAAACTGTGCCTGTAAAAATCATCACACTGCTAAAGGCAGCTGGTGCTGGCCCATAGAAACCAGATACCCACGGTACGTCCAAAGCTCATGCTGCATTACGGTTACCTGGGAAGTGGGAACTCGGAGCTGGCTGTGACGTCACAATGTGACCGCAATCTCGTCAAGTCAGAATTTCAACATGGCGACGCCCACAAACGTCTGTGTGCAACAGCTGCCACAAACACTACTCATAACTTGTTCAGCTTACAGTTGCAGGCGGTACATCTAGCACTGATTTTAGACGCACTTCCACATTCGTGTCTTGTCAAGTACACGCGTTTCCACCTCGGCTTGCTGTTGTTGACGCGAGAACACCGGCCATGTTGAAACAAGAAAGCCACTTTACAAATAGTAACTGGGGGCACTGGGAGTCGCTCTCAGCGTCTCAGTGGAAACCCCCTCCTCGGAGGGCGACTGGGAAGTCGGACTTTCCCAGTTCCGTGTGCAACTGGAATGCAGCATTACCCCCCGAAGTTTCTTTAAGCGTTTACTTATTCCGCTTCCTGGAACGGACGCCTTGCGACATCTGGCCGTTTATGTCTACCGTTGTGGGTCTCCGTCTACATTTCTGGCGCAAGCGCTCCCCGATAGTCGGCCACTTCCTGTTTATTTCACGCTTCCATTGATTATAATGATCAAAATGTTTCAGAATGACTAGATTTAGTGGTTTACCTTCACTCTCTTCCTTCACAGCGTGGCTCCATTGTCTTCCAGACCTGTAGCTTTCCATCTTAACCTTTGTCCTCTCACGCCTCTGATGTTCTTGCTGAAATGGGAAACTGTATTAGACCGAGAACCGAAAGGCTCACACATCCGACATCGACATCCGGTGGATTCAAATTGCTCTTGTGCTTTTTTTTTTCGGCGACTGGCAAGAAAACCGAAGATGTGCATTATCGCCACCTAGTGGTATGCAGTGTGATTCACTTCTCAGTAAATTCTAAAAAAACATATATATTCTTTTGAAAAACTAATGAGTTGTGTATATTTACAGTTAATTTTGAGTGTATCTGAATTTTGACTTTTTCTTCAGACTATGTTTTTGTAATTTCAGAAATGTATAAGTCTTGAATGTCCAGGTCTTTCTCTTGTTATGAAATTTCCCTCCTTTCTATTTCTTCTCCGTTTTTTCACCTGCTCCTATAAAACAATCGTTCTTTCTTTCTTTCTCCATGCCACCTTTTTGACATTCTTTCATATGGTTTTGTTTAATGACTCTCACTACATTACTTTACTTGGAATACAAAATATCAAGTTTAATGATAACATTTGTGAGTGTTGGCAGATAAGATGTCAAAGAAGGAAATACAAAAATCCATCAGCTTTAAAGTAAAAACGAGAAAATCCAAGGGAGAAAGACAGATACATTTTTTTCCTGTGTCTGAAATTAAGTCAGGCTGAAGTTGAAACTGACGTTTTATGTAGCTCCTTTTCCTTTTTCCAAGAGGAAAGACAAAGGGAAAATTAAAAACCCACAAAAAAATCATGGGAGTCCTACTGATCTGAATGTGAAGAAATTACTTGGTGATCCATAGACACACTAAAGGTCAGGAATAATTCAGTCAAGATGTAAATTTAATTTAACTCCATTGGTGCCACCAATAAAACAAGTCCAACGGATCCAGGCTCAACAATAAGTCAATTCAAAGACAAGGTGCACCACAGCATTGGCTCTGATGCTTTCTTGCTAGAAATGTTCAAGAAAAACATTTATAGAATTGTTGAATTTAGGGAGTTTTAGGGCAGCATTATGAAAGCATAAAGAAGAGCAAGAAGTATTGTTCCTGTGATCGAGATAAGAGGAATGCTGCAGCAAACGTTTTGGTAGCACAAATCTGTAAGGTACCTACAAATTCACAAACGTAATCACAAATACAGAAGAACCCAGAAAGATTTGAAGGATCTATCATTGTTTCTTTGGATAGTATTTTTATTAGTTGAGTGATTTTTTAATATAACATTGGAAATAAACAATTTTACATTTGGGTGCAAATTTAATTAAGTTTGCTGTTTCACATTTAACAGAAAACCTAAAGCTTGGAGTATTTATATTGGAAAATAGAGGAAAATTTAATGATCCTTCATCACTTCACTTGTGACGTTCAAAGAAATCTCACAAAGAAAAGCACCAATGTTTGTTGCAAAAATGACTCTTAGCTTATTCCCACCTGTTATAAATCTCACATGTTTGGATGTGAACTCTGTGGGGTAGAATGAACTGATTATTGACCTGTCTGCGAAAATAAGTCTTCAACTTATACAACACATGCTCAATTCAAATGAGTATATGTGTCAACACATCTTTCTTGTTGGTGAACAGTCTCAGGCCTTTGAGTTGAGATGGTTAAAGATGCATTTTCTTAGAAAATTTAAGATTTAAGATCTTACTGCTCTTTGTGAAACAAATTCAGTGCATACAGTCCAACATTTTTATGACATTAAAAGTCAATAGGTATACAGTTTTTTATACCTATTGAAATACTCTTGATTAAAATTGAAATCCAGAGTACAGACAGTTTTAATGAAAGTAAAGGTAAAGAGACATGGGTTTTTTTGTTCATCTGTTTGAATGCAGAACTCCATTTCACTTTAAGTAAATTGATAATATGATTTTTTTGTTACTACGTTATATGGCTCATTATAAGAAATATGACTACATTCTAATGAAAGCCCAACAACGCACTGTAAACATGCTGGTCAGGAACGTGATGATTTCTCTAATTGGATGCACATGTGTTTCTTCATGTTTGAGATTCGAACAAATCTTTTGCCGCAATTATTGCAGCTATAGGGTTTTTCTCCTTCGTGGGAACTCATGTGCGCTCTGAGATCTGCTGTTGTACCAAATCTTTGACCACAAACATCACAGCCAAACTGCTTTTCCCCCGGGTGGACACTCATGTGTCGACTGAGAGTTGAGTTCTGAGTGAACCTTTTACCACAAACACTGCAGCCAAACAGCTTCTCTCCTGTGTGGACATTCATATGTCTCCTCAGAGTTGAATTCTGAGTAAATCTTTTACCACAAATATCGCAAGCAAATGGTTTCTCTCCAGTGTGGGTGCTCATGTGCGCCAGAAGATTTGCAGATTTAGTAAAGATTTTACCACAAACTTCACAGTCAGTTGGTTTGACGTGAGTGTTCATATGCTCCTCAAGATTTTCAGTTGTAGTAAATCTTTGACCACACACTTCACAGTTGTATGGTCTTTCTCCTGTGTGGACGTCCATGTGTCTCCTAAGAATAGAGCTTTGAGTAAATCTTTTATCACAAATATGACAGCTAAATGGTTTCTTTCCTGTGTGTAGTGTCATATGTGCCCGGAGATTTGCTCTTTTGTTAAATCTTTTCCCACACACGTCACAGCTGAATGGTTTCTCTCCGGTATGGACACTCAGATGTGCTCTAAGATTTGAGGTTGTTGCGAGTCTTTTTCCACAAACATAGCAGCGAAGTCGCTTCTCTCCTGTGTGGACAGTCATGTGTGTTTTGAGTGCTGAACTCTGACTAAATTTTTTACCACAAATATCACAGACAAATGGCTTCTCGCCTGTGTGCACTAGCCTGTGCCTCAGGAGATTTGCATTCTGTGTAAATTTTTTCCCACAGTCGTCACAGCCGTATGGTTTCTCCCCTGTATGCACTCGTAAATGTGTTCTGAGATTGAACTTTGAATCAAAGTGCTTATTGCACACAGAACAGCTGAAGGTTATTTTCACAGAGTTCCCTCCTGCACCATATTTTCCCCCTGACGCTGGTGCACATGGATTATAGTCTCCATCATCAGTTTCAAGTTCAGAATCAGAAGATTTCTGCCAATACTCGTCATCACTGGCTTCAGTTTTAGTAGAGTTGGATGAGTCCAGAGCCTTTTCATCTGTCCTTGGCTGCGCATGACCAGGTTGATCTGGATCTGTTGAGGGTTCTGATCCTTCACAGTCCTCTTCATCACTTTCTGGTTTTATCTGTTCGATTGACCTTCTGGTTGGAAGTTCTGGTCCTCTGCTCTCTTCAGCTTTGACCAGAAGAAGCTCTGAGAACAGAGCCTTTTCTTCTTCATCTTCACTTTTCACAGTAACCACCATAAGGGGGAGTTTATTGATATCTGTCTCCAGTTCCTCATTAAGCAGCTTTCCCTCCTGACTGATCCTGAGTTCCTCCTTTTCCTCTTTTAGCTGAGCCGGCTCTGAACTGCTTTGGTCCAAATTAGTTTTCCAGGAAATCTCTTCTTTGATTACAATTTGCTGCTGGCCATCTTCAAGTAACACTAAAACAGACAAATAGCGGAGGAAAAAAGTTTAGGTGACATCAAACTACCTCAACATTTAACTTGACTATATTTGAAAAATTACTGTCAACAGCCTTATTCCAGATTGTACAAATTTCCTCCCACAACATTTTACACCCTTTTTCAAAACAGTCATTGGATTGTGGTGGCCTCACAGCGTTGGGACGAGGCATACTTTCATAGACATGGAGCATCTTTATTATAGCACAAATCTAAACCTTTCTTATGTTCATGCACGTCAAATAATACACACTAGCAAATATTATCTGCAAGTGTGTCTTGCAGAAATTTGCAAGACAAACATCAAGACTACAGTACTGCTGATTTCCGAGGTAATTATATATGAAAATGTATGCGGTATATCCAGTGGCAGAGGCAAAAGTAGATTAACATTTGATTAAAAATCAAATGTTAATCATTTATTGTATTACTAAATTTCAAAAGCTAAGTATTCCAAATACCAAGATGTATGGTCGTAGTTACTTTAGCATTGGTAAGCTAAGTGATGTTATTCAGATTTATTCTTCTGCCTGGTATGAGACCGTAAGGATCTGCTCATCTCAGAGCCTCAGATGACAGAGACACCTGAAAGGAATAACTGAGTATGGTGTGTGTGTCTGAGTATACTCGGCCCCTCAATGCAGAGCTTTCGCAGGAGGTTCTTAGATTCAACGATTGCTGTGATGTTATAATAGTGCAAAAAAATATTAAGTTTTCACAGAAAAGATTGTTGTCTGCTTATGAAGTGCTTAATAGAACGTGTTGCAGTTATTAGACCAGGAAGTACATAAAGATGGATGATGAGGATTAATGAAATTCTGAGCTAAGGAGTAATAAACATATTGTGATGTCGGCAAAGATTTGCAATGTCGTTGAAACTACTTAATTCTGTCACTTACTGAAATCTTTGCTGTCTTGTGTTTCCTCCTCCAGTTCTGATGCAGATGCTGCAGGTGTGGGAGGCTCCAAGCTGAACCCTCCAGTTTCATTTGCTTCAACCTTCATCATTTGAGACATCCTTGCTCCACCTGGGATTCTTCTTCTGTTGTTTATAAAATATATTTCAGAAATTTAGACTGTAGAACATCCAGCATGGATCCACAGGAAGGATGCCTGTAACTGTATAACAATTTGTGCTCATGTTGGCTCTTTCCACTCCCAATATGGCGGACGCTTTGACGTACTGGACCAGCGTATCGCTCGTCCAAGCGAGAGTTCAGTTACTTTCACGTTAAGTTTTACTTACAAGTTCAAGTAAAAATATCTTAAGTAGAGAGAGGACCACACCGCCAACGGCTAATTCATTTTGATCAGGCATCGCTTTTTACACACCTTATATGCTTTTTTTCTTCTAAATTCACAAACAGAAAAATCAGAATGATTGGGAAAAACCACTCAGCTCTATCTATTTCCACCAGGCAGCTATGGCAATTTGCATCTGTGTGATAATCTGTATCACACCGTATTTACCTGCGCTTTCTGGCTTATTCTCTCCGTTCAATCAAATGAAGATTAGGGGTCCTTCCGGATTAATTCAGCCTTCATAGTCCTCTCTTAATCATCTTGTGACCAGGGATCATCTCCCTGCCATGCCATTCATTTTATCTTAAACTTCTTATGCTGCTCAATAGAAGCAATTCTGTAAAAACATCCAGACTGCCTCCTGCGGAAGGGCTACCTTCGTCAGTACTACCATTATTTTGGTCCCCCTTCGTTCTCAACAAGACACCCGACTAAAGGTTCCTACCCCGAAAATTGTATTTCTCAAAACATACGGAACTAAGAGCGTCCTTCAATATTATTCAAAACCCTATTCTTATTTCGTCATATCACAACCTTAAATGTTACTGCGGTTGATTAACAAACTAGTGTAACGTGAAAGAAAAATATGATTAGGTGTTTCACAAGATGAGCTAAAATAAACGAGGGAAAAATCTAAATTTGCGTGTTCTCTGTAAGATATTCCTAGAAAGCAAAACTTCTAAAAAGTAAAATATGAGTACACATTAATTATCTTTTTTCCCCTGAAACTTCCACGGAATAAAATAAATAATAATGTGACGAATTGATGTGCATAAAAATTACACAAGAGCTTTACTAGTCAAGAGTGAGTTTAACGTCTGTGTACCAGGGCTCACAGTACACAGACATGAAGTTTAAATAGATTAAATTTAAGGTAAAAAAATATATATAAAGATAAAATACCAATATTTACATGTATTTGCAACAATTTATTTTCTTGTTCAGTCTCATCTATAATTCTGAATAGTTAAGACTTTGTATTTGTAAAATACATAAACAAAAAGGACTTCATATGTATAAAAGACGATTCTGAACTTAATATGTGTTCTGTGTATAATAAATAAATAAACAATTTTTTTTCTTGACAAAAAAATAATAGTTTTGAATTTGTTGAAAAAATAATAGATTGATGAAAACAAATGTCTTTGCATATTTGAGGTTTGGATCAACCAGGTAAATGAAAAAAAAAAAAAAAAAAACATCTGAAGCACACTTTCTCGAGGTGAAAACGTATTTCCGGTAGCGCATTTTCCAGCTGCACGCTTCAGGTTGCGTGTGCAGCCTGAGGTCTTCAATGAGCCATAAACTGTGTCAGATGAAAAAAAAAACAGATCGGGCGTTAACCTTCGTTGGAGCTGCGAAGAGAGAGAGAAAAGGTAAACACAACGTGGTCTTCTTTCCCTGCTGTGTTCATTGATGATAATTTAATCATTTAACCCGCTGATTAAGTCGCCACGGGCTTTAAGTGACGCAGAGTCACTGACACAATCATGCTGCTTCTCCCCGTGTCGGTGTAATTATTAGCAGGATCGTTAGTCTGTATTGATGCTGCAAAAACCCAATTTATCTTCGATTTCCAGAGAGGTGTTCTACCAAACGCCTTTAATAACAACGAGCTGCATCCATGTTTATGTGTGCACGTCTTTTGGAAAAGTAATCAGCAACATAATCATGCGTACAGTGAACTGATTGCAGTTTTCTGTCATTGTGGATGACCCTGTTTGGCACCAAAAGATCAAAAACTGTCACAGAAAGAAAAAGTCAATTCTCGCTGATAGGAGAGAATTGATATTTCTCTCCTATCAAACAGATGGAGCCAGAACAGAATAAATGTGCCCAGATTTCCACATCAATCTATTCATGCAGTTTCAGAAAATATTTGAATGATGATTTGCCGTCGGTGGCCAGGCCAACTACGCTGAGCATTCATGACAGGCTCTGTTGTTATGAACCAACTGTAGCAGAGAGAAAGGGCGAGGATATGAGTAGCACATACACCTGCAGGATTGACAGCACAGAGAATCTCCTCCTGGTTCTGATTGATAGCTTCTGACAGAGTAGTATATTTGTTTAGATGATAGTGGCTCAATAGGTTAAAGTCAGAGGAGATTGATTTCGTTCACAGTCTATCTTAAACTGTCATGACGTAATGATGATTTTAACAAATATTTTGTAAAAAATGATATTTTTTATAGCAGTTACACAACCCAGCTTTAAAGTCCCAGCCCTAATCGTCATATATTCAAAGTTTTTATAGATCAGTGATTTGCATAATTATAATATTAATTTCTGTTTTTATTCCAGTGTCTAACATGTTTTTTTTTTTTGTGAATAACTAATGCACTGCCAGGTGTTTGTGTGGCTATAGTTTCATATGGCGCCGCAGAGAAATCAGCAGGAAATACTTCCTGAAACCTAAAGCTACAGTTCATCTCTGAGCTGCAAACATGCATGTCGAGGGGTAAAAGAAGCAGCACATGGATGTCTGGAAAGAAAAAAGCATAAAGAAGACGATCCAAGGAGGGTTCTTAAGGCTGCAGCATCCACATCGGAGCCTCAGCAAACACAAACCAACAGAGATCTCAGTAAGAAAAGTATTATTGTTTTATCATCTGAATGTCCTATCTGACTAAAGCAAAGTGTTTTGAAGCAGTTCTAAGATGTTGACTTTCTAAGATGGACTGAACTCACCCCGGTCAAAGAGGGGAGAGTTTTAGCTTCAGTGGATGAACCTAAATCTGAGGATCGTCTTGAATGGTCTAGAAGTTTTGATCCTTCAGTAGCCTGTGCTCAGAAAAATGTTATTAAACAGTCTCACACTTTAACAGCAGCACGATGACAGCTTATTGCAATATTGTGAACAGTAAAATTGTTACTTTAATTTGGAAAGCATAGTCATAGGAGCAGTCTGTGATCAACTCAGATGAAATGTAGTCTTGCCTGACACAACCGAAAGATGAAAATGCATCAGAGAAGGTACCTTACACCCCAAATTAAACTTGACCAAATCTATGATGGCTTCACACTGATCCAAGAGCAACTACATGCAGTCTGTTGGATAAAGACTGCATTTTACAGTCACATTTAGTTCTTTAAATCTGTCTTAATTTAGCAACAAGCCATTAACATTTTCTTTGTTTAAGAACTAAAGGAAGGTTTGATATTTGAATGTTGGATCTGACTACACATGTATTTTAGGTCTGGTTGGACAAGAAGAGGTTCTGCCGGGCTTCAGCCAGCAGAAACAAGAGACTATGGAACTGAAAGCCGAAGAAAAGGAAATCGGGATCAACCCCCCTGCTGAAACTGTGAAAACTGAAGATTATGAAAAGAAACTCGAGTCTTCGCCGCTTAATCAAGTCAAAATTGAAGAAGATGTGAAGGCAGAACCTTCAACCAGCAGCTCTGCTCAGCACATAAAAACAGAAACAGAAGAAGACTACTGCGGAGGACTGGATCCAGACAATAACCCTGATCCAAATAATAACTTAAAACTAAATTCAAATGAAAGTGATTCACAATCTTCAGAAACTGATTTAAGCAGCAACGGTTACTGGCAAATATCTGCCGGTTCTGGACTCGAAACAGAAAGCGGTGCTTGGAAGCAGACCATTATACTTGAGCCGGGCGGTAAGAAAACAGCTGCGATACCCTTCAGCTGCTCCGAGTGCGGTAAACAGTACCGCCACAAGTGGTCCCTGAAGAAGCACCTGGGGGTCCACTCTGGGGAAAGGCGTTTTCTCTGTAAGAATTGCAGTGAAACTTTTAGCGAATATGTGCAACTGAGGACACACATGAAAATACATGCAGAGGAGAAACCTTTCCTCTGCGATGTTTGTGGTAAAGGTTTTCGCAGAACGGGCGACCACAAAGCACACATCAGAGTTCATGCCGAAGAAAAGCCACTTACCTGTAGCAAATGTGGAAAAGGATTTTATTATCAGATGAACCTTAACAAACACATGAAGGTCCACAGAGACAAACCTTTCAGCTGCGATCTGTGCGGTAAAACATTTAACGTTAAATCACGTCTTAGGATGCACATGCAAAACCACACGAAAGACAAACCATTTAGCTGTGGAGTTTGTGGGAAAAGTTTTAATTTTAAGTCACTCCTAAAGACTCATATGATCACCCATTCTGTAGAGAAACCTTTCAATTGTGACGTTTGCGGTAAAAGGTTTCGTGCAGAAGAGCATCGTGAGACACACATGAGAATCCACACTGGAGAGAAACTTTTTGACTGCGGTTTTTGCGGCAAAAAGTTTCTCCGCAGCGCAAATCTTAAGACACACATAAGAATCCACACAGGAGAGAAACCGTTTATTTGTGATTTCTGTGGCAAGACTTTTAGTTCTCAAGGGAGTCTTGTGAATCACATGGTGGTCCATGCGGCTGAAAAACCTTTTGCTTGTGATGTCTGTGGAAAAACATTTCGCAGACCAGTAGAGCTTAAAATACACACCAGGGTGCATACGGGCGAGAAGCCGTTTGGATGCGATATCTGTGGGAAACAGTTCAGTCAAAGCTCACATGCTAAGATACACATAAGAATGCACACTGGAGAGAAATCATGTGCCTGTCACGTTTGTGGTAAAGCTTTTTGTGAGCGAGGGTCTCTTTCACAGCATATGAGAGTCCACACAGGAGAAAAACAATTTCCCTGTGATTTCTGCGACATGCATTTTAACCGTAAGTATAAGCTAACAACTCACATGAAAACACATGTAGAAATTCAGTCTGATGCAGGAAAACCTGGCCAGAGTGGTTTATGCTGACAAACCTGTGTTTGTCTTTTTGTAGCTGTCTAAATGTGGATTTTCTAAAAAAAAAAAAAAAAAAAGATTTGGCTTTCATTAGTGAATCATCATGCCCTCAGGGTATTTTCAATAAAAACATTTTTCTGATGGACAAAAACCTATTTCACAAGTTTTGCCTCAATGCTGTGCTCAAATACTGGACACCACATTGGAAAATGCACATCACCTGTATTAAAACTAGAAGAGCCAAGACTTCTAATAATATTTAATTATACATTCTTCTGCATGCTGTTTGAGTAGCAATAATTTTTTGGGATACTTTCAACAGTGAAATCAAAGATGTGTTATGATCTTCAGGCTGGAGACCGAGGAATTTACAGACAGGCTGGCAGATTTTCATATTTCCATTGAGAGGAAGTTGACATAGTTGGAATTTGAAAATCAGTGGGGAAAATTAGGATTGAGTGATTTGGAGATAAAGTTGTCAGTGAAAGGCAGAGATGTCTTGGACATGTGAAGAAGTGGGACACTTGCATAAATGATGTGAAAGATGAAAACAGTGAACATGTAAAGGGTTTAATAAATTATCTTTAAGTCTGAATTTAGCCATCATTTTCCAGATCAGGATAAATATAAAATGAACTGGAGAATGGAAAAATGTTTGAGTTTCCAGGTTTCAATTCTTGTTCTGTTAATTAAGAGCTACAGTTAGAGGTTTAAAATGAATTTATATCCACTTTGTTGAAATTTCTGTCATATGTATTGACCAGGTTAGTTTTACAGAAAATATTGTGAAAATGCATGTTTTTACTGATCTTCAGCCTGCTGCTGGTCCACCTGAATTTTCCCACTGTGGGACAATAAAAGATCATCCTTTCTATTTCATGTACATCTTTAGTTTGCTATATATTTTGTTTAGAGGTTGATGTTTACATTCACAATTAGTAAAAAAAAAAGATTGAAAAATATAATTGTTAAACCGCTTTTAATTTTATTAAAACATAAACTGTGATGTATTTGAATACCAACTACTCTCACAACATGGCGGGAGCATCGAGGCGTTTTTATGTTTCAAGGGGAAAACGGAAAGACTGGAACACAAGAAGGCGCCGTCTCCAGGGGAGAAGTTTCTCTCGTTTCTGCAAATCCTTCACAGATTTTTGATACTTGTGGTTTTGGGTCAAAGATGATATTAGCTTAAAGATCCCAAAAGGCCAGTGAATCTTCGGAGGATCGAGGCTGAGGCTGGAAAGAAAGGCGAACGTGGTTTACAACCTTTAGCACAACTTTGCAGTAAAAGTGTCATTTACCAAATGAAACATCATGACAATAGTCATAAACATTCAAGGAGACTCCTTCATGTTCATAAGTGTTATGTCATATTTATGACAGTGTAATGTCAGTCTTATGCACACCCCTTGAACTGGAGCAGAAAGAAGTCAGAAGATATATGTAAGAGAAACATTACTCCTGCACAACATCAGAATGTGGTATCCACCAGAAGCACTTTGTGAATTCTAGACAGCAGATAAAAAAAGACAAATATTTGTCTGCGACTGAACTGTTTTAAAAATCTTTAGTCTGAACTGACCAAACAAAAAGTCAACTTACACATTTTCTCTTCAGTCTTATGAACTTAATTTAAATTCAACCTGATCTTTAAAATTTTCTTATCCTCCAAATCATTTTCCACAAATTAATGGTTCTGCAAGGAAAGAGCTTTTTTTTTTTAATTAACGGGGGGAGGAAAAACACGACCATCAAATACGTGTTTTAATTGTATAAACATTTATTCTTAAAAAGGTTAAATAGAGACCACAAAATTCATCACTGAAGAGTTTTCCCTCCGACACAGAGACGACACGAGAGCAAACACAACACAGACAAACCAGAACTTTTTAAATAAGAATCTCAGTCCACAGAGAATTTACAAAGATTGCATATTTTAAACAAAAGAATTATAAAATCTCCCGGAAACAGTGCAAATATACCAACACCTGAAAACGACAAATAAAAGAAACCTTCTCTCCATCCCACAGAACAGAAAACACTTTGGTTTTCCTGTGGCGTCGCTGCCGGTCTGAGAGCAGCAGGAGTAGTGTCATGAAGACGGATGCTTTCTGGATGGCTACATTTTGAACTGACGCGTAAAATCTCTAAGCAATGAAAAGGAGTGAAAACGTCACATATCACAAGTTAAAGTTAAAGTGAAGGCAGTGTCAGTGTTTGACTGAACTCCAAGTGAGCAACATCTGAAATGTGAAGTAAGATCTGCTGATGGAAAAACAAAAATCTCATCTCCTTTTGTTCCTGACTGGTTCAATAATACAATAGGTAAAAATAAAAAAAAATCTGCTTGAGATAAGAAACAAAACCATTTATGATTCCCGACATCGAAAAGCAGGAACAAATCACTGCTGGATGGTTTCGCCTGACGAGAAAAGGAATCTCCCTTTACTTCACTATTCTATCCCCTGAAAGTCATAAAAAAAATTACAATTTCTTGGTAGGTATTGCACCAACGAGTATTTACAGCATCACCAGCACAGACAGGAGCAAAGCTGAAGAAATCGAACATCTGGGTGAAGAGAAGTGGCACCGGAGTGAAGAACCAGGACGCGAGGAACTCCTAGGAGCCGCCACCGAGTTGGTGACGTTCGTCTCAGGCACGGTCACAACAAAATCCCCCACCGCTCCAAAAAAACAAACAAAGTCAACTGCAGTGCTCCAGGGTTGAGGGCAGAGGGCGCTGTGCTACATGTACTGGTGTGGAGACTCAACAACAGTCCCTCTCAGAGCTTTCTGAGAAGTCAGGAGCTGCAGCGCCCCCCTCTGGATGACATTTTAGAAATGTGCTGCTTTGGTTCGATTAGATTTTGTTTTCAAAAACACGACAAATAATAAAACTCGTAAAGGCAAGACCCGACGGGCCACCGCGACCGGAGATCGAAAACATCCAAAACTATCCCCAGAAACCGAATCCCTGTGAAGAACGGAGACAAACGGGACGAAAGGGGAGGAGACGCAGCTTCGGCGGGCCGAGGAACGCGCTGGTTCGGTGCGGTTCTGAGAACAGGATCGCCAGCGGACGGAGGTTTAAAACGCATGCACACCTCCGAGCTGAGCGCCTCTTTACGGGGAGCTCGCGGCGAGCGCTCGACGTCGGGCGAGTTCAGAGCTGGCGCACGACGCTGTCCGCGTGGTTGACGGAGACGGCGGCGTCCTGCTGCAGCCGCTGCCACTGGAAGGTGGTGCTCAGGGGACCCACCTCGTCCTCGTCGTTTTCCTGCTCCTTGGCAAACTCCAGGAACACCTGAGGAACAGAGAGACCAGGAGGGCATACATTGTGAAGGAAGAAAACAACAACGCTGTGGAATTATTCCACCGTTATTGGAACTGGCTCGTTGTAGTATCAACAGCTCGGTGGTTGAAATCTGGTGTTCCAGAAGGAACAGACCAAGCAGCCTAACATTACGCCACTGGAATGAATTGTAAATTTATACATAAACTTAGCAGGATTTCTTCTAGGAGATTATAAAACTGGAGGAAAATGTAACCAGAAATGAGTCTCAATGGAAACATGATCCAATATTAAGCTACATAGACTTTTGTCTGTAGTTTGGATCGACTCCTGAGAGCAGCACAGTAGCCAGGTGCAATTTAATTTGATCCAATTCTTTCAAGAAGAACGGTTGAAAATCAGCCAGAATGACTCCAGCAGCTTGATGAAGGCTACGGAAAACATGTGGTAAGGTAGCGGTAGGTGAGAGGTAAACATCGGAGTGGTTGGTCTGGATCTAACTGAGCCTGTAAGGATCAAGAAAATCAGCAGTAAATTCAAACTTGTGAGGAATTAATACACCTTGCTTCGTTTCTCCGCCTACCTGTTCCAGTGTTGACTGAGAGAAGTTGTACTCCTCAAAGTTAAAGGTTTGTTTGGCTGAAAACAAAGAAAACAGAGAAATGAGAATAAATGGTTTTGTAGTTATGTTCCAGTTCTTAAAGCATTTTTATATATTTTTTTAAACTCACCGTTCTCTAACTTGGAGAAAGAGTGAGCCAACGACTTGACGTCCTCCATGGGGATTTTATAAACCATCAGAGTGGTGAAGCTGCACAGATGAATAACATACAGCATATTTACGGAACTGAAAGAAAGCAAAAATTCTGATATCGTAAATAAAGTTGGATCAGATATTCTCCGTCTTCATCCAACAGGAACCTTACTTTTTTTAAAATTTGGTTAGTTACTAAGAGCTGAATGAGCACAAAAAGACAAAAGCAGTAGAGAGAGTCATTTATGTTTCTAGATTCAGCTGCTGATCCTTTGAGCGCACCTCTCCTGTCGGACGGCGTGAGGAAAGATTCGGAGGATCTCCTTGTGCAGCAGCGCCACCTGCTGGAGTCCCGTCAGCTCCTCTCTCAGTTTCACCTCCAGACTGTAGCCTTGTCCGTATTTTGCCTTCAGATGCTGGATGGAGCCGATGCATCTGATGGGAGAGAGACGGTTGAGCTGCAGGAACTTCAAATTTCAGATTTCATTAAAAGGAAAAAAAGAAGAAGAAGAAGAAGAAGAAAAAAAAAAAAGAGTTCCAAGAAAGGAAGAACCTCAGCTGGCCAGAAACCATGATGGCGACCCGGTCGCACACAGCCTCTGCCTCCTCCATGTAGTGTGTGGTGAGGATGGCTCCTCGCTGATGGTTCCTGAACGCAGCACGCATGGCCCTCCTGCAGAAAGACAAACTGTGAGTTTCACCAGGTTTCCAGAGGGGGAAGCTCTTCTGCGTCGCGCCGAGTCTCACCACATCCGCTGCTTAGACTTGGGATCCATTCCTGACGACGGCTCATCCAGCAGGACGATCTGAGGATTCCCGATCATACTCAGAGCGAAGCAGAGCTGGAACCACATATAAACACTCTCAGTTCAAGCAAACAGGAAAGATATGAACCGCGTATTTGGGTGTCTGACTGTTTAAAGCTGCTCTCACCTTCCGTTTGAGTCCTGTGGAGAGATTCTTGGTCTGTTTGTTTAAATGTTCTCTCAGCTCCAAAGCGTTAGACACTCTGCAGCGGTTACAAAATAAAATCTAATATTAGATTAGTGTTTTTGAAACAACTTCCAAGCGTAAAAATTAAAAAATAAAACAAAAGCTTTTTGTTTTTCTCTGGATTTTAGTTTAGTCTATAAAGACAAATTTTTACCAAGTATTTTTGGTCTACTATCTAATATGAATATCTTAGTACTCTTGAAATAAGACAAAACTGACTTACAAGTCACTTCTCAGCAAGATATAGGAGCTTGTTTTAAGTCAGTAAGTACTGGTTATAGGTGACATAATCCAGCAGTGGAACAAGACAGTTTAACTTATATGGCAAAAATGTCTCCTTCCACTGGCAAATCTTTAAACTTACGATTAGAAAGTATTAAACTCAATATTAAGAAAGTATTGACTTCAAACAAACAAGTACTGCTTCCTGAAAAGCTACTTGTGAGCTAGTTTTGTCTGATTTTAAGTACATTAAAGTATTTGCACTATAAACTAGACCAAAATACTTGGTAAGATTCTGTGTTTATTCAGTGTATAATGCAGCTGAAGGCTCACCGCTTTATGATGCCCGGGACTTCTTGGCCCTTTAGACCCTTGATGGCGGCGTAGAGCTCCAGGTGTTCCTGCAGGGTGATCCGGGGCCACAGAGGGTTCACCTGGGGACAGTAGCCGACGTGTTCCAGAGGATTTTCCACGGGACGAAACTCTGTGCTGTAGTCTCCCATCAGGATCTGGACCCAAACAGAATATAGATCTACTTAGGACTGGAAACCGCAACTTCATTACTTCCTTGAAATGTTTCACATGCGTTCTGTCTTTATTCTCCATATTTAACCAGGTTTGTGCAATACTGGGAATTTTTCAGGTGATGTGTTTATAGTGGAGCTCCCTGCTGTTCTCATTGGACATAAATATATATATATATATATTTTTTTTTATTTCACTGTTTTTATTGCTTTGACAAACAGTACCTGACCAGCCGTGGGGTCGGTGTCGCCTGACAGCATGTGCATGACCGTGCTCTTTCCTGATCCGTTGGGGCCCAACAGGCCAAGAACTTCCCCTGAAGGAAACAGCAGGTTATTTCTCCTGGAAACGCAGCCTGCAGACGACCTTTGCCCCTGTTTTTTTACACGACTTGTTCTTCTAAGTGTGGCAGAAAGCGTGGAGGCACAGAAGATGACTAAAGTGTACCTTTGCGAACGCAGAACGAGACGTTCTTTGTGGCTACTTTGGTCTTCTTGGCGAAAGAGAAGCCTTCTTTCCTGCCTTTGTACTGCTTTCTCAGGTTATTAACAACCACAACTGGTTTCTGGAAAAAGAACATTTGGGTTCATGTTGAACTCTTAACCGACCAGCGGGAGAAGATGAAAGACGAACATACAACAAACTCGAGCTTTGACGTCAGCAGTTTTGAAATTTGTTTGGTCTCCTAAACAGCTTTTATTTTGAAATTTTGTCACCTCCTCACAAGCCTGGCAAGTAAGCGCCTCCTTCACTCTGGCCTTCTCCATCTGAACGTCCTCATCCTCGTTCCGCCCTTCCTCTGGGATCCGCTCCGGTTTGGCCTTCGACTTGGACGAGATCCTGTCACATTTCAGCATCTTTAACATCAGGGCTAATCGTTTTTATGGACCATTATAGCCCTGTATTAAATGATCGTGCAGAGATCGTCCTTGTAATGCGATCGTCACCTGCAGAGCTGATCGTTCTTCATCGCCCTTCCTCCGTATCGGATCTCCAAGCCCCGGAGCAGGAAAAGCAGAAGGATGCACTGCAGGTAAGGCTGAAAATAAAAACGCAAACAGATGATTTAAAGGTCTAAAGTAAATAAGATCTGCGTGTTTGTAAATGTCCGAGATAAAAATAATAAAACAAAACAACGTACGGCTACAACGGAAATGAGCAGACTTTTCCACAAGAAGTTCTCCTCGTACAGAACAGGAAGGAATGTTGCCTGGGAAAAGAAAAACAGCAGCAGTGATTCCCCAAACTCTAATGCAAACCTAGAATTAGCAGAACTAAAACTACACTAAAGTCAATATAGTGTATTTTTGGTGAAAAAAGATGTCTAATTTCTAAATCTAAATAATCTTTCATTGCGTTACGAGTTTAAAATAAACAAGGAAGAAGTTAAACGGCCCTCAGATATGACCTTGAAAGTTATAAACATACAATGAATGCTGCAACAATGAGACAAAGACTTCTGTGTGTTTATGGGACTGTTTTAAAACGTACTACCACGCACATTTGAATGAATGCTTCAGGAAATACTGATCTAGATAACTTTTTAACCAGAGCACTCATCAGAGATCAGTGTAGTTTTCCACTCCCACCTTGGTGATGCAGTTGAGGCAACCCATCAGAGGATACAGGGGGTTGAAAAGACATAGGATGTTGTGGAGAGTTCTGGTCAGGTCTGGGTTGTTGTTCACAAACGACAGCTGCACGACGGAGGCCGACACCACACACACCTGAAGCGGAAAAACATTAGGTACAAAAAACTACCAGCAAACGCGTTAAACCGCAAGAAAAAGATATTCCTTTTAGATTGATGTCCGTATTCTCACCATCATGCAGATGAAAGAGAAGAAGTCTCTGTTGCTCTGCACTCGCGTGAATCCAAAAGAAACGACGTACGTGAAGAGGATCATGGCCGGTCCGAAGCCGACGGTGCAGAGGACCTAACAGAAGACGTGAAGGAACGGTGAATAATCCTCGCGCGCCGGATTATTTGTGTTGGATCTGTTTGTGTTGGAAAGAGCAGCACGGACCACAGCGGTGAGGTTGCTGCTTGTCGACAGGTTTCCAGAGTGGAAGCAGAAGAGGATGAGGTTCATCAAGGACAGGATGAGGTAGTAGAAGGGGATGTCCACCGCCGCCTGGCCGCACCAGTAGGCTGATGGCAGCAAGCCAGAGATCCGCAGCGTGGAGCGACACTTTATCTGAGAGGGAAAAAAAGAAGCCAAGTGCAAATTCATTGGGTAATTTACAATATTAATGCATTAAAGTGGTGATTTAAAAAAAAAAAAATCCAATGGCTCCATGCGAGAGGTTACCTCACGATCTCGAGTGTGATCCATTGCAAAATACGCTGGCATCCCGACAGCCAGCATTCCCAGCATGATGGCCTCTATGTAGACCAGGGCGTAAGACGTTGCATCCGGGATTTGCTGTAGAATTAAGCAGCGCAAACAGTTATCTACTTAAACCACAGATTGGTAAATGTCGTCTCGACTCTGTGGGAGGCTCACATAGTCGAACGGCTTGGTCCAGGTTCGGATCCGCCCCGTTCCGTTCAGACCTCTGAGGAGTGCGTTGCTCAGAATATTGACGGCCATGGGTAAGGAGTGAATTGTGGTGCTGTTGAAAGCGATGGTATACCTAAAGCCCTGACAGAAATGACAAACAGCGTTGTTAGAACAGGGCTGAAATAAGCGGCCCTTCAAATAGTCAGTCAAAAGCCCTGCTACCTCTTTGGACCTTGTAACGTTTATGGCAGCGCTATGTGGAGCCGCGTCCATGTAGTCGTTCTGTTTCATCAGTTCCACTTTGATATCCTGTGATTCCAGGTTGTGGATCAAGTCGGAAATATCCGAGTCTGTGACAGAAAAAAACAACAAAAATACAAAACCTTATCCAACAGTTGGAATATTTCATTTAATTTCATGCTGCAGTTTCACTCACTGGTTGAGTTTTTAACGAGGAGGCTTGTGGCGTATCTGTGAGGCGCTTCGTTCTTTTTCAAAAGGTACGTGGGGAGGAACTGTCGCTCCTGCGAGTGAATCTGGATGTTTCCCGTCACCAGCGACACAATGAGAACCGAAGAAAGAAAGAGCAGGAACAGCACCAGACTGAAACGCAAGAGACGACAAGCGTCACATTCGGTCTGCTTTTACAAGGAGAGAAGCTGCGTGTTGTTGACATGCTGTCATCAGCAAAACTTTAATTATGCAGCAAAAACTTTTCATTCAAAATTCAAGTTCTAACCTTGGTCCTGTTTAGATCATTTTTGAAGTTTAAACGTGAGTGTTTGCAATGCATTTCTGGCAGCTTCCACTGCAATCAGGCCTAAAACTATTCTTAAAATGGAATATGACATCAATTCAGAAAAAAACAAATATTTATCAACAGCACCTTGGGAAACCTCAAGGGACATTACAGAAAACTAACCCCGTCCTACTACACCTAAAATTACCCTCTATCAAATCTTTTTATACTGAGCTTATTCCTTTTTCCTCCAACCAACTGAGATTATGACCCTCCGACTTTTCCTGAGGTAAGATGATCAACGCTGAGCTATTTTTTGAACATTTCTCCTCCCTCATATCAGTGTTTCTGCAGGTTTCACCAACTTTGAGATTTATTAAGACCATTATGAAAGGAATTTATTACCTATATTTCCAAAGAAATGTATGAACTTTGTCCAACCAGTTGGTGAAAAATTTGCATTTATCCACAATAGATGTAAAAAAAAAGCTAGGAAGCAAAGGTATATTAGCATGAGTCACAGAACCTAAAACTTTTGCCTGACAGAAATTTCCATGAAAACAAAAATATACATACAACCTTCAAGATTAAATATTTCTGTCAAGACAAAGTTAAGACCTACTATTAAAGTATTTATGGCCAACTTACTTTTAAAACTGAATTTGACATTTTAATGCCTTCATTTGAGACACATGGATGTAAGAGTTTTTAAGGATGTGCGGACACTGTGTTCGCGAGGGACTCACGTGTAAACGAAGGCTTTCCACTCCCTGCGCATGTTGAGCATGTGCAGCCAGGCCACGGCGCTGAACTGCTGCCGCCACAGAGTGTGACCGGACACCGAATCGGACTTGCTGTCTGAGAAGGTGAGCAGCCGCTGGTCTGTGTCGTCCAGGGACGCGTTGTCGCATTCGTCCTCCGCCTGCTCTCGGTTAAACACGCTGTAGTCTGAGAGAATTCAAAACCGTGAAACAAATCAGGTTTCACCAAATCCAATTTTGAGGGTTGAAATTTCTTTTGAAACGCTCACCGGCTTGATCCACTTCAGCTTCTGACTCCAAACGCAGAAAAACATCTTCCAGCGTAGTCATGGAAACACCGTAGTTAATTATCCCCAACTGCGGCTGACAGTCGAGCTCCGAGAACAAGCCTGAGAAGATCGAATCGGCGTTGTTTACTAAAGAGCCGAGCAGGGGTAGGAACGGAAACCACAAATCCGACCCCACCTGAAAATGTGTTCATGCTCTCGAAGGGCAGAGTGAAAGTCAGCTCTGTGTCGTGCTGCCGGGACAACTTCGCTTTAGGAACATGCTGCTTCATCAGTGATGCAACCTTTTCTGTGTCACATCCCTCAGTGATCGACATTCTGAAAACAACGTGTACGGGTTACAACGAGACGAACGAACAGGGAGAGCCTCCAACTGAATTCATACCCAGGACTTTCTTGCTGTGAGGTCACGGCTTATAGCTTCACCGCCATGTACTTTGCCCGTCTCTTTTTTTAAAAAAAAGGGCAGAGTGAAATCTAACTTACCGGAGATGATATCCGACGCCACACTTGACCTTAAGATACAGAGACGAGCCGACGCACTTCAGCTGTCCCTGAGAGATCACAGCTTTACGATCTAGAACAAAACATGACAATAAGAACTTAAAATAGAATTTTTTGAGGCGTTCCATAAACATATAGAGTATTAAAGTTCTGGAGAGAACACTAAATTCTTTTGAAACATCTTTGACCATCAGCTGAAATTTGATGCCAATATAGTTTTAATTAGAAGACAAATGAAAATATCTTTTTATAGCTCTTTCAAGAAGGCAAGACTAGAATGTTTGAAACATTCACATTTTGTGTAGGGGTTCTTTTAACACTGATGTAGAACTTTGAAATTATGGTGAAAGTTTCCAGTGGAAACCACACAGTTGAACTTTAAAACAAGCGAGCAGTGACAGTGGTTTTAGTGGTTACAGATGTCAATAAAAACTTGTCATCTGCACCAACATCCCCATGAACAAATATGACTTAAAATACAGATTGACTAAACTATGATGAAATCTATTGAATTTTTTTGAGTCTATACTGCAGTTAATGATAAATCAATTACTGATTGTAGATTTAAGATAAGACTCTACGGCACAGCACCAAACAGCTTTGTGCAATTTATTTTTCCTGCCGCTGCTACAAACTGCATCACTTCCTGAATGCTGTCTGTTGGTGTTTCATCTTCCTGTTGGTTATACTGACAGGGGCTCTTAATACAGAGTCGAAAAAGGAGAGTTCTCACCAGCCAGGATGTCCGCCTCGTCCATGTAGTGTGTGCTGAGCACGACGACCCTGCCGGCCCGCCGGCTCTTCAGCAGAGACCAGACCTGGTGTCTGGAGCAGGGGTCCATCCCCGCTGTGGGTTCATCCAGGAGAAGAATCTGAAAGAAGCAAAAAAGCGGAAACTATTGAAGGAGAGCATGGAAGAGAATTTTGGAAGAGACATTAAGAGTTATCTGATGTGCTGGTTGATTTTTATTATTATTAGTGAACATGAGATTTTTTTTTTAATAAAAGAAGAAGGCTCTTTTCTTACTGCAAATTTTATTTGAATGTTTTAAAGGTAAGTTGGAGATTTTTTAAGTAACCAGCTAATCTTTTTGAGGTTGTCGTAAAAAACAAAAAAGGCTCATGTCCATTTGGGTCTAACATCAGAAATTAAACTCAAATCATCCTGATACCTTAGGATCTCCGAGGATGGCGATGCCCACAGAGAGTTTTCTCTTTTGGCCTCCACTCAGATTCTTTGCCTGAGCCGTCATGATTTTCTCCAGGTCCAGATCCTTCAGCACTCTGGTGACCTGTCACAGAAACATAATGAGGGAAAAAAATTCAAACTTAGACTTCCTACTGTTCAGTGCACCTGAAAATGGTCCTCTTAAAAAGGTTTTATAACAGTTTAATGGTTGCAACATAGGTTTTTAGAGTCAGGAGTTCAATAAATCAAACTGCTTTTGATTTGAATTAAGGAAACTTAAGTATTTTTTCTTAAATAAAAAAAGAATAAAAGGGCTGTCCAAAATAAAATGGAGGACTGACACTTTCAGCCACATGGTAGAAAGCAACATTTTGATCATCCCGGTACCTCAGCATCAATATCTGCAGGTGGGATCCCTTTGATGGCAGCGAATATCCTGAGGTGCTCCTCCACAGTGAGCACGTCAAAGATGATGTTGAACTGAGGGCAGACTCCCACCAGCTGCTTCATCTCCGAGCCCTCTGCGATCTCCGCCACGGGAGAGCCGTAGATGGTGGCCGAGCCGTTGGTGGGTGGGCAGATGCCGCACAAGATGTTCATCAGAGTGGATTTTCCGGCGCCGCTGTGTCCCAGCAGAGCTGTGATCTGACCCTCATAGATGTCAAACGTGAAGCCTGAGGGCCAGTTGGGAATGAAGGAGCAGAGAGTCGGTCAAACCGGGAACCGATCAAACCGTTCTGAGGCAAAATCTCCATGCTCACCTCTCAGAGCCTCCACTGTGCTGTCCTTGTCTTTGTACACTTTACAGATGTTGCTGATGCTGAGAAAAAAAAAAAGAGAATCAGAAGAAAGTTTTTTAATGAGCGCTTTTCCTACAGCAGTGAAAAGAGTTTTATACACACTTCATGTTGTCACATTTTGTTGCCCCCTTTGTAGTACAGGAAAGTGTTATTTTTAGGCTTTTGGAAAGTCATTCAAATGGTTCAAAATCAGCTGGAATTTTGATTTTAAACTGGAAAAATACTGTTATTATTTAGAAAATGTCTGTTGAATTTACTGAGTTTAATAACCTCTTATGACCAAATGACCAGGGTTCAGCAAATTTACCAAACATTCCTCTGAACATTTTCTTAAAGTGCACTAAAATGCATTTACAAAATTAACTAAAAATGATAAAAATCACCAGCAAGCACTTCTATATAATTTCTGCAAATGCATTTTATTCTTTTTCATTCCTTTGTGCACGTGGCCTCGATTAAATGAAAAATGTCCAGTTTTTAAAAGCTGCTGCTAACAAACTTGATTCTGTAGAAGCAACAAGAATGCACTCCATTAAATATCACAGATGACAAAAAAATTGCGAAAAATGAAGAATGTGATTGAACAAGCAGGAACCATTTGAATTTCTCATTTTTTTTGTCCCTCCACTGAGAAACCACGCAAGAGAAAAGGAAGAAGAAAAAAACATTCTGAAGCGGGAATGAAAATTTACCGGATTGCTTCTTTCCCTCTGAACTCCGGGGAAACGGGCTCGACGCATTCATCTCTACCAGGAGCGCCGTTTGCCTCGGCATCGTACACTGAGCTCACTTCGACGTAGCGCTTTCTGTGTTTGGACCAATAAGAAGGCTTCAGGAAGTACAGCATGGATCGCTTGATTCCAAAGTCACCTACATGATAGACAAAGAACTATTATTTGACTATTCACTCATAACGGAAGAGACAGGCTGCAGCAACATCATCCATGCAGTACAGCTAAATAAATAACAATGGTCCCAATATTGATCCTTGTAGATCTCTCACAGTTCATACATGATAAAAAAGCAATCATACTATTTCTCCAAATACATCAAAGCATAATTGAACAGAGAAGACTTTATCCTTTGCAGCAGACTGTTTAGCGTGGTTCAACACTCAGGAATTTACAGTATCTAAAGCCTATGTACATATATCTATAAATATTGTAAAAAAGAAGAAACAATTTTTTTTTTGCTTTACTCACCAGGCAGCACCTGGTCTAAGTAGAGAGCGAGCAGAAGGTAAAAAATGCAGTCCAGAGCCAGCATGACCAGGGGAACATAGAGCGGATGAGGCCCATTGGTCAAGGAGGAAAACACAGCGCCATCTCCCTGTGCTTCCAGGTAAACCACCTACAGGATAAAAAACTAATTTAAAGTCTAAATAAATGAAATATGTTTTTTCAGAGAAACTGTGAATTACAATGATTGAGGTAATGGACTTGCCAAGAGTTGGCAGAAATGATTCATCTTTTATACCAGTGGAAAAATTGTGTTCTGTTAAGTGGGATTGCGATGAAGCATGTGCAGCTAACCTGTGCAATCCCGATTGAGAACGCACTGGGAGAGAGCAGGCACAGAAGCCAAACCAGCGGCTGTGGGAAGTCTCTCATCAGCACGGTGAACAGCGACATGCAGCCGAACACCACCGTCAGCATGGAGCCCACGGTGCTGGCAAACTTGGGCTTTTTAAACAATGGAGTCAACATGAAGGAGAAGAAGATCTGAGAAGGAGAAAAATATTAATGGTCTAAATCTTAGCTTGGATTATAGTGTAATATGTGGCTGTCTAACCCATATGCAACAGGGTATGTTGGATGAAGGACACCTCTAAACATTTCAGAACAGCGACTGATAAATTGGGTCTGGGCAACTTGGTTTCATGATAAAGTCGCAATTTTAATTTTAATTTTAATAAATCCCCCCGCACCTCTCCCTCACTTATTTTCCTTAAAAAGAAACTACAAATGAAAAAGAAATAAATACATAAAATAAAATATATATATACAGATTTGTTCTCAATCATTCTTTCAGTGAGTTGACCTGAAATCACAGTCAAAATAACTAGAAGTGATAAACAAGACGGTAAGTCTTAAAAGGTCTGAAAACCCAAGAACTGTATTGGCGGAAAAAAAAAATCCAGATTGTCCAAAAATGTAAACGTAAAAAGACTGAAAATTCAACAATCGATTTATCGCCCCGCCCTATGAGAAACATTGCAGCTTTAAGTTTATCACTGTTAAACTGCTGACAGGGGAAAAAATCCCACTCTCTGCAGAAGACTCACAGAGGATATTCCATAGAGGAAGATGAGTGAAAAGATGACAAAAAAGTCACTGTAGGGGAAGAGTGCAGTGTACGTGGCGATTATGGCCATCAGGATGGACATGGCAGTCACCAGAGCAGCATACAGAAGACCCCATGACAACCTGTTGGAGAGAACAAGAACTCATAACACTTAACATATACGAGAACGGATTACTCTACATCACAAACATACAAACAGATGCCTCACCAGAAGGCCGTGTCGTACAGCCCCATCATGGTCATGGTGTCTTTCAGCCGGTGCTCCTTCTCAGCTGCAACGTTGACGATGAGGAAAGTGACGAAGGGTGTGAAGGCCAACACCAGGTAGATGGAGATGAGGGCATGGGGAAACTTGTGCACCTCCACGGAGCCTGGCTGGCCCATCATTACCACCTTTATATCCAGCTCCTTCCGCACTGGCCGTTTGGTCTGCATCTACGCGCAAAATTAATGACAAGCAGTATGATGAGTAAAAGAAAAAAGCTGTCTGAAAATAAAACGTGTTTTTAGACTGAATTAAAAAAGTGAAAACAAAATATAACAATGTACACACTTCATAGAAATGCTCTAATACAAATGTAGCCTGTCGTGTTTTTTGTTTTTCTTAAACCAAGAGAAAAGGGTGCTTCACTTGACCTCTGTAGGACGATGACGTCCACTACGTCTCACCTCAATGATAGCTGCATCAATCATAGACTGGAGGCGGGTAAAACCAGAGTACCAATAATTTGCAGCTCTGCATTTCAACATGCTGCTGTAACAGCTGGCTAGAAGGAGAACAACAAAAGAACAAACTTTAGACAAAAAAATGAACTACTTATGGATGACACTTAAAAAAAATTACTTTTCACAACGCCGTAACAGCACACATTTTCCTTTTTTGTTGACCCTCTGACAGATGAGATCAAATAGTAGCTCATCAGTTATTTACCAATAGACTCTGTGTAATCACTCGGCAGGGGCAGCTTGTTGTGCGGAAAGCGCAGTCTGTAAGACGTGGCGGAGCTGTCCAAGAACACCACGCCGATGTAGCTGGACGATTCGTACAAGCTGGCGTTCTCCAGTTCCTCCTCGCTGGAAAACATCTCCAGGCGGTCCTGGACACCTGCAAAGACAAACAGCAAGAACCGCAACGGTTTGATGATGCCGCTTTATCTTCTGGCCTCTTCCGAATTGCAGATGAAACACATGGAAGGCGACGACTTACTTATGAAATGGGCGACTTCATCCATGATGTGGTTGGTGATGTTGTTGATGGGTGTGAAGGCCAGGCCTTTGAGGTTCTGGAAGAAATCGTCATTCGGCAGCTCGGCCGTGTTGATGGCGCCATAATAAACATGAGGGTTCAGGGTGCTGATGAGAATAAGGAGACCCAGGAGCAGCAGAGGGAGGATCAGCTCCTGAACACACACAAACACACACACACCAACATAGAACCTCCTGTTAATCTATTCAATGAATGAAGCATAAAATTCAAGATTTTTCCACAAAACGTACTTTGCTTGAAGACTCTTCCAATGAGGAAATTCTCTTAAATTTAAAGGTTTGTAACAGCTACTTCTACTCCAAATACATTAAACATTAGAACTGACAAAAAATAATCACGCTACAAACTGGCTGTGTTTGCAGCATCCTCTGTCAGATAGCAGAAAGTTGTATTCTGTTTAGAGGATTTGAGAGAGGTCTGTGCATGAATGAGGAGACGGAGCTCCAAAATCGTGTGAAGGGAGCGGTATTTCTTTCTCCTTATCATTTCAAGGCAACATGCCACAGACAAGCCAGTTGAGACTTTAGTTAGGCCATAGAACCCTATGGCCACACCATCCAGACAGCCCATATCCAACTACACTTTGAAGTACAGCCTGTACATGATTGGCATCTTTTCAGAATTTAACTGCTGGTTGGGAGCAGGACTGCAGAGGCAAACTGCACCAGTAGAAAGATGACCAGCATACTGCAATTTAGAGCCAATGTTGGGATTACACCTATCGCATGCTGCCGAGTGTACTATGTAGTGAATAACATGCAGCACTGTAGTTCCTACACAGAAGGAACCACATGTTTCTGGGACACCATCTTAGAAGCATGTGTGTAACTTCGAAATTCACAACGTCCTGCTGCATCACCACCAGTTATGTTACTTTTGTCAAGTCGTCAAGGTCAACCGACTGTGTGGAAATAACGCGTCAATACTGTGAGAGTGCAGAACTATCTAGAATGAAGGACAGTCAGTTTCATGTCCCGTTACAATCGACAGGTCAGCTACAAGACTGAAATTTGTGTCGTGCAGACGAGAGCACACAATGGGAGAAAATTATTATTAGATGACTGATGGTGTGGTGGAGTCAGAGTTGCACCTATTCTGTGGCAGTGACACATGTTTGGTATATGTGAGGTACATGAGGTACAGAGCTCAGGCAGCAGGATCTCCAAATGTCCAGATAATTTGCTTCTGGTCAGCAAATTGTATATGACACACAGTCAATATATAAAAAGGCAATGCCGTACCTGTATCTTTCTATGGCATTGTCTTCCTACTCAACTAAATTGAAACTAGTATTTAATGACTTCACAAGAGATTGATATTTTCCATTAACTCTACTTGTTTGAGTGTTTTATAAGCACTTTCTTTTCTTTTCTGACAGTTCTGTGGGAAAGATTAATTATGGGTATGTGAAAGATAATTTAGCTCACTATTTAGCAAACTACAGAAAACAATATTATTCCACACAGCTCGGTTGATTTTAAATCAATGGACAAGTTCCAGATAACAGCAACAATAATGAATGCCATTCCTAGTAAGAAGTTAAGAGTTTATCTAAGGCAGAGTGTGCGAGTTCAAAGCTGCTATGCTGAGCCATTAAAAATGCATCAATGCAACTTAAAGCCAAATGAAAAATGCATGCCCTAACAAAGAGGAAATGGAAGCAAAAAACAAGTTTTCATTCTACTTAATGTAGAGTTGGTATTTTGACACCGGAAGAAAGCAATTTCGCTTCTTCCGTTAGCTGTAGAGTATTGAGAATACTCTATGCAAAAGCAAAGAAAAAAGAAAAAGCCTGAAGTCAGCAGAACAGAACGTGAATACCTGGAGGCTCTGCTGCTTGGTCCTCCATTTGATGAGCACGTTCTTGTAGAGAAGACTTCGTGTTTGTGGCCAAACTCCTGCATCTCTTCTAAAACCCGGATGCATGCTGCCAGCATTCCTCATCTGGATGACGTACGGACGGGATGTGTCACTAAGGCTGGCCTCAGCTGCCGCAGCAACAAGAGCAAATGGGTTATTAAAACATCAGCACCGAAACAATACCATCGGTAGCTTCTTTGGACGAGTGAGAAGGAAGCAGTAAATGGAGATGGCAGTTTTTTTTTTAAAATTATCATTACTGAAGCTACACTTTCAGACCTCAAAATTAAAATAATCATCGAAAGCCGCTGAAGTGTGGGCAGAGGAAGCTGCTTCAGCAGCTCAACAACAAGCTTTCAGTGTCCTAATATTTGGCGTCACCATCACAGAATAAAGAGCAAATACGATTCTAACAAACTTCCTGAACTTTACGGGGTCAACACTGTGTGTTCTGACCCTGAATATTTGAGGAAACTGGACAAGATGAAGACAAAAGAAGAGACAGGAAAAAGATCTCGCAAAACCCGGACACGAAGACCTTCAGCGACCGTGTTGCAACTTTTCAGTTGAAAGGCTCAGTGGTTAGAGATTAACTAGTACTGATTAATATGTATTTTAAAATGACATCTTTTGCCTGTAGATAATATTGTCACATGCAAAAGTCAGTCTTGTTTTAGCTCCTGAGAACCATCTGAAAATATAAAAGGTTTTCCCACTTCACGCTGGTTAACAGAGTGTTCTACCACAAACAGAGCTAAGTTTACTTCTGCAGTGATGAATTGCCAGGTATCTCAGATCTTTTTTTTTTTAAGGTCAATCTTTAAATCCAATTATCCCAAATTGTGTGTCTTAGCAAATTGGAAGGCTCCCAAAACTTGAATTAACTCAACTCAAAAAGTGAAACACGTATTCAGTCCACAAAAAAGCAATATATCTAAAGAGCAGATGTAGATCTCCTTACTAATATAGTAGCAATCCACTCAAAAGTTTCGTATCCAGCTTTTCAGTCATCATCCAAAACTGGCTTTATTACAGCGTTTTACAAAATTTCAATTCGCCAGCTCTTGCCAAATATCAATAATTTTGGTGAATCTGACTGGCATAAAACAGACGTTTAGACTGATTTAACTGCAGATAGTGAAAAAAAGTGTATTTTTCCTAGGGGAATGAAAAAGTGAGGTTTCAACTGTAAATAACGTATTCCAAATGTAGGCTGTCAGTCAAACGTTGGCTGGCACTTCATCACTAAACTGCTGTTTCAATATCAAACACTTCCAATGACTTCGTAAATAAATCAAGCACTTTCCAAACCTTGAAAACACCTAATTGAAATTCAAGCGTTTTCAAGGATTTTAAGAACCTTATGAACCCTGTTCCCCTGAACAAACCTAACGCGCTCCCCTCAGTCTGTTCATAAACAGAGCTAGCTGTTGCTAGCTTCCTGTTAGCCCGCTTTTCTGTCACTGAGTCTGACAGACATTTTGATTAGATAAATTAGAATTTGCTTTATTTTAATATTTGCTACAAATTAGTCCAAATGCAGCAACCTGAACAGAATGCTCTGTAAATCAGCAGTCACATGTTGAAGGTTGATCTCTGGAACCCCGAGTAGCAACAAGAGCGAAGCTAACGAGCTTCACTGCTTGCCACTTATCTAAGAAAAAGCAAACATTTCACTTGAAAAAGACCATGACTTTATATACTCACGTATGAAATACATTAAGGCATATCCTTCTTCAGCTTTTGACGGAACCACCTTACATTAAAAATCGCATTTTATGTCAAGAAAACGCCCCAAAATGCGCCTGTATCGACCGTTTCTAGTTCCTGCTGCCAACTACAATTCCCAAGAAACCTTGCTGCTCATCCAATCAGATCTGCCCGAGTAAACTGACTGATAACGCTAATAGATTTTGGCTCTTTGGGAATTACCTTTAATTAATGTATCTTGTCTATTTTTGTAGATCATAATTGAACAGAAATAATGTATTTTTTCCCCGACTTTAAATATAAAATAACTGAGTACAATAAACTTGTACAACAATATTTGCTTGACATCTTTAAAAACTGAAGAAAAATCTAATATAAACAAGTACACAAAAACCACAACTTGTGACAGAACTACTGTAGCTGCTAAACAAGAACTAACATGATCATAATGTATTATTTGAACAACAAAATAAAATACTAATTGACATGCTAACATCTTATTACGATATTGAATCTACCCGAGAAGCTAAATACCAACCAAGTCAACCAAGTTATCTTAAAGGTTTCATTAAATGCAAGTTTTCAGAATTTATTTATTGATTTAATTCTTTCTAAATGCTTTTGATATTTTTCTACATTCGTTCTCTGTATGTCTTTTGAAAAATCAAAAATGTGTAGAAAAAGTCTCATAGGCAAACATAACTGAAAATTATATTTTTATTTTCTTCATCACTTTTAACAGCTGAAAACCCTGAATTTTAGCAAACCAGTAACAACATAGGGAGTAATTTGGAATGTTTCCCTGAGACAGAACGGTGCAAATATGTCTTGGATATGAGGGCTTGGACAGCAATCTCTGCAGGACCTATTAAGAATAGTATTTCCATGTGAAAGATAGATCTTAACTCTTTTAACCAGCATGAATGATAAAATGACAAGCACTAAATCAGATTTACACAACATGTCTGTGTTCGTGTGCAATGCGGCATCTTAAGATGCGACTCATAACAGGGGATGGTGGGGGTCGCGTGAAGGACAGTTCTTGGATGTCCTTGAATTTCAGAAAATTGTGAAGTGCAGTGGGAATGGCTAGCTGCTGGACTACATTGGTCCTCATCAGCTGATCTGGCCCCAGCACTTCGCGAACCTTCAGTCGGCAGAGGTGGAAAAGGCAGGGAACTGAAGCTAAAATGTGGAGAGAAAGAATCCAGCAACTATTAATGTAATGCTGCTAAAGTAAAATGGCAACTCAAGTACAAATTTTGTACCAAAATAAGTGTGTGGCTCCCAGGTCTTCTCTTCTCGCCTCTTGTTCAAAATGATCTTCAAAGAAGTAGAAAGAGTCGACCAGTTTACAAACTCCAGCAGATAGTTGAGCACATCACTGTCTGCCTTCTCTAGCCTGCACAAAACAAAAGATATGGAGCATCTCTTTTAAACCAAGCTTTCGACAGAGGGAAGTGTAAAACAGTAAGATAGCATTTACATGTGGGGGTGCAGCAGCAGAGATGGTTCAAGTCCTTTGTTCAGAAGTATGGAAAGCCAACACGAAGCAAAGTCCACTTGGCTCAGTGCTACACAGACCAGTTCCCTCAGCTCCTTTTGCTTTAGTATCATCTTCCCATGATGATGCGGTACCAAAAAGCCCTTTGAAAACGCCTCTGGCCGAGGGATCCACCTGTGGTCCAGAATCAGCTCCAGCAGGTCTGTTGTAACAGTGGCTAGGGCATAAGTCCATTCCTCCGCATTCAAAGTTGCTCCTGCATTGAGCAGCAGCTTTATGGACTCCCTAAAAAACAAAATGTTGGATCAGCAACACATTAATTTTGTTATCTTCATTTCTGCTTTACTGAAAAATCAAGCACTAACGTCATGAAGGAAAACATAGAACTGATTCCTTTTCTAAAACTTTTATGTTTCAGAACGTAACGTTTTTGTTTATAGTAGGCAAAAAAAAAAAAAAGGTGCACATATGAGAACACATTCTGCACAACAAAGGACTATTATTCTTTTACAAAACTTCAATGCTAAAAACCCCCCAGAATGACTGAAGTAAAATAAAGTTCATTTCCTGGTCTAAAAGCTCTGACTAGATCAGTGTTTGGCATCGTTATGGAGATAATGATTAGTCTGATCTGATCTGTTGCTGTTAATCTTTTATAAAATTTTGTGGCCTTCAAGAAGGAAAATGCAAATACGTTGTGTTAATGATCAGATAAAGGTGCTTTTAAAGATAAAAACCAGCCAACACACCTTTTGGTGGATGCATGATATAATGCCAGCGAGAGCGGAGAAGGGAAATCCAGAATGTTTGCACATTCCTGAGCGTCTGGGCTGTAACCTTCCTTTAACAGTAGCTGGATGCTGCTGGTCTGGTCGTTGTGGATGGCCACATACAGCGGACTGACCATGCCTTCACCCTGGTCACACGTCCTGTCAGTGACCTCTATCAGCCTTTTCAGAATACTGGGTTTACAGATTTTGCAAAGGTTAATATCAAGAAGAAGATAAAAATACAGCCAGAATCTGATGACTTAGGTTTAAACACAGCAATAAAACGATAAAAAGAAATCAAGGTACAAATTGCATATGATTCCACAGCAAAGTATTCATTCTTAAAAGTTTAAAAAGGCCCTCATTATCGACTCTTCGTGAAGGAAAGTTGATAAAGGTACCTTATATGGCCAAACTCAGCAGCAGCATGAATAGGAAACTGAGGCCAGTCTTTGCTGCAGGACAAGTTCGGATCGGCGCCGTGACTCAGCAGGAGGTCCACGCAAGCCTCGTGGCCTTCCTGGGAGGCAATCAGCAGCGGCGTCGCCAGATCAGCTGCCTGTGTGTTCACATTGGCACCTGAAGAGGAAGTTGAATATTTATTATTTTGTTTTATATCGCTACCATGTTTTACTTAAATGTGTTACTTTGACTTTCCTCAAACATCAGTTTTCCTGTACTTTCCTGTACTTTCAACATGGATATCGGCTGTCTTTTTCATGAGCTCTCGCCTTTGCGTTCTGTGTAACATTCAGTGATATTGAACCACTCAGCAGCACGATTGTTACCTTTAAGCATAAAGCAAGTTGGATAAAAAGTTTATGGGCATCTGAGACTCTACTTAAAGTTGGGGAAACATGCCTATCCTAGAAGAGTTCGCGCTGTCTCTACATTAACGGATATTCATTTATACACGTTCATTAAAAACAACTTTCAACAAAAAAACATATATTGTAGGAAGTAAATGTTCTTTGTTCAGCGGTTGCTTTCAGATGGTTTCAGTCAGCTCAGTGCCAGTCAGTGAGCTGACAACGTCAGCTTGAACACATCCTCAATCAAATATAAACAAACTGCACATATTCATGCTCACCAGCATTAATAAGGATCTCCAGGCACTCCTTCTGTCCGTACTGTGCTGCCAGGAACAGCGGCGAAATCCTGTGGTCATCATGCGCCTCGATGTTGCAAACGTCAACAAGAATACGAACGATGTCGCTGTGACCCTGAGGAGGGAGGAAAATTCTTCATCAAAAACCATGGAGAGGGTATGACAAAAGATCAGTTCTCCGTGAATCTGGTGAATTACCTTGTAAACAGCTTGATGTAGACAGGTCCACCAGGATTTTGTGTGCATGAATTTGACTTGTGCTCCTTTCCTGATTAGCAGTTTCACAACCTCTGTGTGCCCGTTGTCCACAGCTGGTGGCAAACAGATGATCCACATAGGAAAGATGTTTGAATGCTCATGTCGCTCACAGACATATTCAGTCTAAGCTGTGTGTTTAAACTGTCTTACCTGCAAATACAGGACAGGACAGGTCATTAGTCTGCTGGTCAATGTCAGCGCGCACTTTCAGGAGACGTTTGACCACCGCCAGGTGTCCTCGCTGCGCTGCCAGGTAACATGCTGATTCCCCCTCATGAGTCAGCGTGTTTACATAATCACGACATCTGGAGGAGCTATCTACAAGAAGGTTAGAAGTGAATATTAAAAGGACATCCTGACAATATCAGGAACAACTTCTTTGTTTGCCATTTGTCAGAGTCTTCACAATACTCTGAGCTTTAACGTTGTTTTTTTAGGTTTAGTTTTAAATATCTAGACATATAAAAGAACAACATGATATTGACTTGAGCTAATCAAAGTTTTTGAGCTTCTTCTTTGGAGAAAAGATAACCTAAGCTGTTTTATACATTTAGGTAACTTTTCTCACCAATTACTGCAGACAATAGTTCCTCCACACACTCTTTACTGCCAGCTGCTGCTGCCTCATGCAGAGGGTTCCAGCCGCGGTTATCCCGACTGTCCACGCTGCATCCTCTCTGGATCAGCCTCCTCAGCTGCCTCCTGCAGCCAGAGCGGGCTGCAGCAGCAACACTGGACACAGTGTCTTCATAACATTCTGTGAAGTCCATCCCCTGGCTTTGGGAACAGCAGGTGCTAGGAAGAGAATATAACAGATACAAAAAATATTTGTGTTGATTAGTCTAGATTCAAGATTGGTGTTGAATCTAGCATATTCAACACTGGCCTGTTGAATATGCTAGATAACTAGTGTCTTATTTCGTTGCTTTAAATTTTGTACATTTACATCTGCAGCATGAAATAACAATACATTTATATTTTACAAAATTCAAATCAGTGATGGGAGCCTTTTCGTTTTAGCTCTGTTTGCATGTTTATGGTCATTTGCCCTATTGCAGGGGTGGACAATCCTGGTCCTCGAGGGCTGGTGTCCTGCAACTCTTAAGATGTCTCCCTGGTCCAACACAGCTCAAACAAATAGCTGAATCACCTCCTAAATGCAATCAAGTTCTCCAGAGTCCTACTAATGACCTCATTATTTGACTCAGGTGTGTTGAAGTAGAAATTATTCTAAAAGTTGCAGGAGACCAGCCCTCGAGGCCTGGAATTGCCCACCCCTGCCCTATTGGAACATGAATCTCCAGTTTCAAGTCCTTTTCAGGCTCTAAATGGTTTTCACTCATAATTTTTCTGTAATTGACTTACTTCAATTTATTCTGGTCAGCTTCCCAAACCCTGAAGATAACATTACCACTAATGGCTAATGGCAATTTAATGCCATTAGCCGTATACACATGTGGCTAATTTAATGCCATTAGCCATGTCTACATACGCCGAACACGT